GCAGATATAACTGCACACGCCATTAAAGACCTCTCCATCGGCTCGCTGCGCAAAGAGTTTGTGCAAGCGGAACAAAAACCTGCAGCGATTAAAGTTTTTTAGCTGACAACCAGAAAAAAAAAAGAAAAAAGGAGGAGGTAGACAAGTGAGTGGATAGTTTTTAATAAAAAAAAGAACCCATAGGGTTTCATACAAAAACATCTGCACGTATCAAGAGCGTATTACAAACATATTTTCTCACAAATGAGTCATTAACAGTGATTTCCCTGCGCCCTGAAAGAACAGAAGTTGTGAATTCACAGAAGTGGAACTCTTAAATGAAATGTTGTCTGGGACAACTGCAGATCAGATACAAGGATCCTCAGATAAAGTGCGTTCCATCGAGAGCGTGTGGTATGGACGGCACTCGCAGTAATTAGCACCAGTCACCAAGCTGTGATTTGGAAGTTGCATATCTCCACATCAAAAACATTGTTCAGTTGAACAGAGTCTTCTGGGCAGTAGGAGAGTCAAAAGCGATCAAAAAGTGCAACAATATAGGAATAAAGGACTTTTTTCAAACACTGGTAACACTACTGACATTTAAGGAAGAAATTTACATGCTGTGATTCTGAAAAGCAACAGTGTTCCCAACAATTTCGTAACAGCGATGCAAACTGAGTGGACTGGTAAAAGGATGTTTCCTTTTGAGTAGTCCTGTAAAAATACAGGCTTGGAGTGCAATGAGAAAAAGCCACGGTGCCACAGCAGGCCAGTGCTCGGCCCAGTAACAAAGTCATAGTGGCTGTAAATGGAGAGTCTCTGGAAAGGGCAGCTTATTCAGAAATGCAGCATATCACTGTGCCATCGGGCCTCAACATCTCTGGTCTGAGGAGCACGAGCAGGAAGACTCATAAGCGATGAAGCAGGTTGAAGGCAGCTGACGTAACAAACGACCAACATTTCAGTCCACCTCCACACTCGTGCCTTTACTTCTCCATCCAACCTCCTCTGGAGTTCAGACCTTCTGCCTGTTTTCAAGTTTGGTCCTTAACAGGTGGACCACAGTTCCACGGTTCCCACTGGTGGACTTCAGCAGACCGGCAGCATGCGAGCATTGCCGTTGAACTCCTCCTCCGCCTGAAAAAACACGTAATTCCTTTTAGTTATCTCAAGGAACACAACTTCTTACTAACAGGACACTTTTAAGTTACCAGAGATGCTTACCTCACTGTAGGCTGGCGGCGCTGGGTACTCGAAGGCTGGTGCGTTCATAAAGATGGGACTGTCATCGCCGTCAAAGTCATCAAGGAGAGGTGTGAGAGGCTGGTCTAGGCGGCAGTCCCGGGTCACGTCGCAGTAGCTCGGAGGTTCAGAAGGCATCCTGAGAGACACCCAGCTCTGGGAGGCAGTGCTGGCTGAACTGTCCTGGCTGCTCACACTGTTGCTGCGGCTGCCCAGACCGGCAGTCCCAATGACCAAAGGCAACTCCAGGATCAGCTTGTCACTACCAGGAATGTGTACGTAAATCTATGATGTAGAAAAACACAGTTATTAACACCAATGTTTACGAGATAAACACCAAAACTTTCAGAAACTGAAGGCTCACCATCAGAGCGTACTCCACGCGGATGATGTTGCAGCCCAGCATGGATGGTTTGATCTTCGGTACCCTGATAGTTTTTCCCTGCCAGGCGTCGCACATCCCAGAGATGATGTGGTTACCACGCACTGAGGACAGCTTCTGGCGTAGGATCTTGGTGCGGCCGTTTGCCTGGTAGGTGTGTTTGGCTATGATGGCAGCCTTGGGCACAACAATGCGGGAGCAGGTGTTCTCAAACTTCGCATTGATGCAGATCTCTTCGCCTTCACAGAATCCACGCCGGTCAATTTTTGCATTCAGTGACACCTGACCGTCAGGGATGAACATGCAGGTGACTTTCTTCTCCTTCATGCCACCTGCTGGAGACTGAAGAGCAGCAGAAAGACTGTTCAGTTATGCAGTCCCAAGCTTCAATGACAAAAACACTGACTATGTTCTGGCATTAGTGAACTCACCAGCAGGTCTGGGGTGTTGACATCCAGTGGCTCCTCCACCTCGAAACATTTCTTGCACTCTAGCACGGGCTGCTGCGGCCTCTCCATCAGGGCTTTGACGCAGTACTGGACGTAGCCGAACTTCCCCTTGTATGACGACACCAGTTGCCTGTAAGAACCGTTATTGCTCCATCACTTGTAAGTCGGTGGAGAGGTGCACACTGCATCTCTTTAGATAACGGAAAATCATGCGTCACATAGCGCATCCTCACCCTTGCTGAGGGAGCTCGAATCCAAACGTGTACTCGTACTTGTTGCCAGGTCTCAACACCACGGAGCCGTCAGAGTCTGGAAAAGAAAGTAAACAGTTTACAGCAATATTCATGCACAGCAGGTTTCACGGCTGCCCTGACAATTCTGACAACACCCACAAACATGTTTTAAGCCGGTAAATGTCGAACACACATTCCAGGATATCCAGCATAAAGGTCATTCCCGTACCTGTGGGCTGGTCTTGCAGCCGCAGGACCGTTTCATGTCTGAGGTACTCGGCCTCCTGTCGGCACCGCTGCTTGCCTTTAGCGTACTCCACCTTGGCGCAGCCCAGACCCAGAAGCTTCAGCGCGGACACCCGCATCATTTCGCTGACTTCCACTTCGACACGGCCGGACACCGTGTCTCCGCCGCAGTAAAAACTCTTACTGGGATCGGAAAAGATTATCTGAAAGATTTTAACTTTCTTCGTCATCGCCACCATGATTGACGACCTCGAAAATGGACAAAATGAGCTGAATCGTGAAACTTCACAAATAAATCCCTTGGAAACTACCGATAATCCAAACACGTCGAGCGACCGATTCACTTTGCTGTAAACAAAGGGAGGAGGCAGTTTTTATGAGCGGGGCACGAGGAGGCAGAATGAACAGCATGGCTCAGTGCGTGCACACCGCTCTGATTGGTGGAGAAAACTTTGTTTGTGTCAGCCCTGCCCAATCAGCGCAACGAAACGACGCGTGTACACCGCGTGGCTGGGAGAATGTACAGCGTGCTCAGCAGATGCGCGCACAGGAAACTGGAAGTACACAGAGAGAACATTGCATTTATAGTAAACACGTTAAAACGTGTGAAATCTTGGCCTGACAATGAGTCAACTCATATCACATGTAGGGGAAACTTGAAAGCTCACAGTATCACAAACGACACCCTTTTAGCTCCTACCTCAAAGCACACTGTGCGCTGTCGATCTTACGTGCTGTTTAATATTTACTGTTATATTCACATAGATCATCGCGATGTTGTTTATTATGTTGCTCTTTTCTTTCTGCTTGTTTTCTCTTTTTTCTTTCTCAACAGGTGATTGATATTTGTATTTTTTTGTCTGCTTATTTTGTTGGTTTTTGTTTTTTGCCCTTTATCTCCGTCCCTCTTCCCCGCTGTTTTTCTTTCCCCTCTTTCTTTTCCCCAGTCTGTCCCGTATTTAACAAGTAAAAATAAAATAAACAATAAAAGGTGAATCAATTATCAATCATTATGGCAAGGCTGGGATGGTCCATTTGGTAAAGTAAATCCGTTGGGCATCTTTCTTCGCCTTTAGACAAGAATTCTGATGGCGAAAGAGCCAAACGGGACAGGCAAAAAAAGAAAGCTCACAGTATCACCAAATACTTTGATAAAGTAGAATAAACGAAACCGATTATAATCACGCGCAAAAACAAAAATACATAAGGCACATGAAATTATGAACATATTGAAATATTTAATTTTTGAACATCTTCAGTTTCACTGTAGCCTTTTTTGTCCAGTAGCTGTTTTAAAGAATGAATCGAACGCTCAAGGTTTCGAGGTCAACACTAAACAGAGGGCTAAAACTGGATGGATATCCTTTATATGAGCTTCAGGGAAATAAGGGAGTGTTTTGTACAATATAAGCATTTAAAAAGGGAAGTATAATACTGAGTCTTGGTCTAAAACAGGGATGTCAAGCTCATTTTATACTCTTACCTGACATGGATGAGTCAAACTAATTTCAGTCAGTGGCAAGAGTGCAACTACACGTGCAATCAATAAGATCTTTTAACATAAGACAAAGAGCAGCAGGTTCAACATTTCTCAGTTTTTCCTGTAGCAAAAGACAGAAAGCGAATGACTCTGAGCTTAACCTGTAATTAGTCATGTGCAAAAATAACACATTGAAAATGTAGTTACCTTGGTGTACTGTTAGTGGACACATGGGAGGTTTTCATGAGAAAGAAAGTAAAACTAAAACCTGTGAAGACAAGTATAGACTAAAGAAAATTTATGGCCTCAGGAAAACCCCAACCTAGCCAAGCAGGCTGGGTTGGGGTTTTCCTGGCCCCCAGGCCTCATGTTTGACAGCACTAGTCTAGAAGATGTTAAAATAGCCTGTCCCAACAGCTTCATGACAGCCCATGGAGAAATCTAGCCATTTCTAGGTTAAACCTAGGATTGGAGAACTCCCAGCAGCTTTCTTAGGAACGTCGATATGGTGTCTGGTTCCTGCACAAAGCCGTTCTGAGCTCTGTGAACTTCAACCTACTTTTTGTAGGTTGTACTTGTTAGGTTCAAGCTAATGGAGTACTGCTGCCTCCTAGTGGAGAAAGTAAACTACTACAGTATACCAGCGCCCTCTGCATCAAGATCAAACACCCAGTATCAGTGAGTGCTAGTCTCAAGTTTAATAGGACAGTGCAGGAATTAAATCCATGACAAGGCAAGATTTTTAAAATAAAACCTTGATCTTTTCTTTAAAAATAGTCAGTGATAAAATAAAAACCCCCACGTCCCTCAGTAGGTTCTGGAACCATCAGACCTGAACACGTGTAAACATCAACCCTCAGACATCCATGTCCCAAAATCATCATGAAGTACGGAGCTTTAAAATGTATTACCACCAAGTATTCATTGATCTTGTTTCTGCAAGCCAAAGACTTAAACAAGGTCCAAACACAAGTGCCAAGTCAAGGTTTGCTGTAACACGACATCCTTTATTAAATCCTCATTTGCAAAGGTTACAACACGTTTCCTCCAAAGCCAGCGTCAGCCTGGAGAACCGTCTCCTCTCAGGAATCACTGATCCGCTGCTGAAAGGAAAAAAACAATGTCAGACACAGAATGACTGCAGCACCGTCACTAAGTGAAGTCAGTGACATCAATTGTGTTGGATATGTCAGCTGCTTAGCTCGACTCGACAGTTTGACACTACACTCAACTACTGCCCCAATGGGCTAGGCGTCGTTATAGCAACAACATCATGATTGTTTACCCTCACCCCAAACCAGTCACAGGAGATGACTGCCACCCCCTGAGCCTGGTTCTGCTGGAGCTTCTTTTACATTAAAAGCACCTTTACTGTGAACTGGCCTTATAGAAATACATTTTTATTGAATCAAAGTGACTGAGCGACACCTTCCTGAAAGTGAAGCCTCAACATGTCACTAAACCTGGAATTTTGCTTTTTCATATACCCCTCAGGAAATGTTCCCAACAGGTTCTTCTAAGCTGGTTGCTTGAGAAGCCCACTGGGATGGCTTGTTTTTTGGTCATGTCCACAGCTAAACAGGAACACAGAATCCTGACAGCCTTGGTTCATGACCACTTTGACACACAGACGCACAAACACTACTTACAGCGATCAGCTGCAGTCCTTTCCATGCAGGCAGGACAGCCTTCAGATTCTGAAACACATGGGTTTACAATACAATTTTATTTATATAGCACATTTAAAAACCCGAAGGCACACCAAAGTGCTTCACAGTAATATGGAGAGTTTATTAAATTATTGGAGCGTGTCCTGTCATGTTCTAATGAAGACAGTCTTTAGACCCAGGCCTGCTTGCTGCAGGCTTCAGTTAACGGTCAAGTCTAAAGTTAATTGTTCACCTGCACATTTCATTTTCACTGCTGTCACTTTGCATGCGAGCAGCTGGCTTTTCCTCATACTGGAGCTTGTTGAACAGGAAGTTTTAATGTTGATTACAGTGCTGCTGTTTTTGATGCTCAGAAAGAATTACTTCATGCCACCTGAGCTCATCGTCACGGTAACTGCTCTGCCTCTTTGCTCCAGATCTCTCCCTCCTTTTTTTTATAAATTTACAAATGTTGCTGAAAACCTCATGTTGTGAGTTTTATAGAGTTCAGGGATTTTCAGAGATCATTCATTTAAAAAAATATTAAAGTTAAAAAAAGAAACTCTGTTAAAGCAGGCTCGTAGTATGCACAGAACCTCACGGTACTCACACTATACCGATTACTCCTATCCATGTTTATCTGTGTGGTCCACCCTAACCAGTGATATGAAAACAGTCCACTGATAAGACTTGTAAACAATGACAGAATAGAAAATCTATGGAGCAGTTGGTAATATTTGACAGACACTTGTTCTGCATCAGTATCTCACAACGTTCATGGCAGTGAACATGTGGGTAAAGCGAAACAGATTTACTTTGTGAGGCATTTCCAACGACACGGCCCTACAGAGAAAGGTCTGTCGGGATAGACCTCAGCATACTACGGAGCATAAATGATATGCACGACTACATCAAGCACCAGTCAATTTCTTACTTGAACTTGATTTATTTCAGCGTCTTCAGTTGGACAGTCTGCTGCTTCCTCCTAACAATAGAGGGTTTGTCACTTGCACCTCGTGGGAAACATGTTGACACTTACAGGGGAATGAGGCGTGGCAGCAACATTTTGGCACAACCTGCTGATAGAAAATTATTTTAGTTACACAAGATAAACAGTGTTAGAAACAAGAGAATCTGCATATGCACTTGTTCTTACTCTGTGCAAAGACACATTTCCACAGACATTAGTAAGGAAGGACCAAGGCTCCAGCCTCTTTTGTCCTTTGGGCCAATCCTCACCTTCATTACTGCAGTTGAAACCTTGGATCAGGACATGATCAGTTGTGGCAGCAGAAACCTGGAAAAAGGTTAACAGTGAGCTCAGCAGTTGATGCAGGGTTACTGGGACAAACACCATGGCTGATTACAAAAGCAATTCATTTTCAGATCAGCAACAAAAATTAAGTTGCAGGAAAAAACCAAAAACAGCTTTATTTGATGAGTACGGATCCACGAGTAATGCAGTGTGTACCAACATGTTTACCAGGACTCCAAACACAAGCAGTCGGGAGACCAACGATGCCATTTGTTGAGTTCATCTTGCACTGACTTTTGAACAAACCAGCTAATGAAGCAGCTGGCTGCAGATACCACACAGTGCTGCCATTGTGGCTCCAATTCACTTCTCCTTGAGATTAACATTCATTCTAACGGATCTTGTTTTTCCTTTTGCACATCTTGATTCACTGATTGCAATCATGTGTCAGTCTGGTTTTCACTGTGGTGGACATTTACATCGTGGGAGTGATATGGATGCAGAAACACGACATACCGTTTACTGCTGCCTCAGTGCAGAAAGTCAGGTCAAGAGGAAAACCTGCCAGAAGGAGGTAGGATGGAGGTCAGCGGGACTTCAACAACACTCAGTTTGTGGTTACAGTGCAGCAGGTGTTCAGAGAGGCAGCTGTCACTCACACTTCAGAGCAGTTGAACATATTAAGCCAATCATCATTACTTGGTCTACAGCACATTAGTCCTCAAGCACGACTTACCGAGTTGGACTGAAGCGTCGTCTGCGACACCTGCAGGGAAACGGTACAGTTTCTCGTTTTAACAAGTTTTCAAACTGAAATTTCAGGTCAGTTTACAGAACACGCGAGGTCACCAACAGATGTTAGTCCTCATTAGTAACACTGCTGCGGAAAGTCTGCAGCAGTGGGTTGCAAGAGAATATATTGCTCTTTGCACTGCATAAGCTTTATGGCCCACTTGACAGAACCAGAGCTCATACTGTGCTAATCAACAGTCATGCGTGAAAGTAGTGTCATATTCATTTTGGTGCTTCACCACTGCTAAAGCAGGTTTTTGTTTTTTTAAAACACAGGAAGAAATGGATATTTAGCTGAGGCACCACAGCCAAGCAGATTATGGTTGGACTCTAAAGCCCATTTCTGTTGTTGAAGTGAAAACATCCACTGTTTATCTTCTGTTTTGTTGCTTGGATTAACAAATCTTTAATAGTGCTTTAGCTGAGGCTGACCCATGAGCGTTGCAACCAGACAAAAATCAGCCATTACAGTACAGTTTTGTTGAAACAAACATTAAATATAACTGACCACATGCACCATCGCAGCAGCAAGAACTGTAGAGCCACTGCTCCCCATCACATCCTGCAAAACGAGAAGTTTGTGTTAAATGGGAGGAGATGCAAACTTGTATGTCGAGTGTGTCAGGGCTCATTGTCACCACTAAGCAACCAATGATGCAGAGGTGAAAGCAAAACCTGATGTTCTATAGCCACTGTAGCCCAGGGATTAGTCCACAGTGCAGGAAAACCCCAGCGGGTGATTGCACTGTGGCATTGTATATGCATACGATTCAGTTCATAACACCCAAGCTGCATTCTTTCAAACGGCAAGAGGTGCACTGCTCTTAATGCTCTGGTTTCTTAATTAACAGCACCGTCTCCATGGTAATACAAGCTTAGATATATCAATAGGGCAGGTTTGCCTTGTTAACACTTGCTATGATAATAATGCATCGATGTACAATAGGTTTTGACTACAGGTTACCAGAAACAGTCTTGTCTCTACATTTATACGTTGCACTTCTGGAAACTTCTAAAGGACGGCTTTCACACTCATTTTACGTCGTGGGCCACATGCAGCCCACGTTGGTCTTCACAGGACTTTTAGAGGACTTAATACAGACATTCAATTATTTCCAAGACCCTGACTGCGCGTCGTTGGAAGCTGATGACGTTTGAGCCTGCCGAATTTTGATTGGTTGACAAGTGAGCCGGAACAGAGCAGGGAGCGATAGCAGAGCTCAGAGTACGAAAGAACCACGAAAAAACCCAGAGCGCAAAATATAAAGCAGGAAAAGCACAGACAGCGGCTGCAGCGACGCCTTTCATCATTTTTAACTCTGTTTCACCGCAGCTTTTCTATTACAGCTTCGCTCTGTCGCGGCTGGCTCAGACACGCTGTAACACATCCGGCACACTGCCTCCCTCCGACAACAGCGCGCACTGCAGGCTGACGGACAGGCCTCGGAGTGGAGCGGGCAGCAGAAGTGCCCTCTCTGCTCGGCCAGATATTCCTCGGGCACCCCACACTAACATACACGCCGGCCACGGCGCCTTCCACGTGCGTAGGTCGGGTCGTACACCCAATACTCCCCGCAGAAAGCTAACCAGGCCCTCCGGGAGTCCCGAAGTTAACACCCTGTGTTAACACCGGGTTCGAGCAAATCACAGAGTAAGGACTGTCCTGACTTTGTGATTCTGTGCGGTGAAACGCGATCCTAACCAGAGGAAAACCAGTCGACGGTTTATTTTTTGTCGTTTTTAAAAATAAATTGGCGCATTGTTGGAAGCTTGTATACTAAAAAAACGCGTACAGTTTTAGCGCCAAGCTAGATGTTAGCTATGTTCACAGAGGTTTAAGAGCATCGCATTTAAGTTTTAAATAATAAAACGTATGCAACCACATATCTATATACACACAGAGGACATAACTAACCAACCCGCTCAGTTCGGCTTACCTCTCGTCCTCGCATGACGGACCGCAGAGAAAGGAGCTCGAGACCCGGCGCAAAGCCCTTTATAGCAAGTGTTACGTCACTCGAAACCGGTTTTCGACACCTACTCACGCGACGCTGCAGATCCGATGCTAAGCAAATACAGTTCCAGCGTCGCTGATAGCAAGAGCCCATACTATTAATGTACAAAGCAGCTGTGTTTATCGCGAGTGTTCTTGTTTGTATAAATTGGTGTCACAATAGCAAATAGCCTTCCTGCAAAGTTTCTAGTGTTTGTGTCTCCACAGGATGCTCCTTTGTGTCTGCCATCACTCACTGCGTTCTACATGCGTGACGCGTCTGCTCAGCCTCATTCATTTGAGGGCTTGGCAACAAAATATGCAAGACACGTGACAAGTGCTTTTAGCACAGAGACGTCCACTTTCGGATGAAACAGCAACAGTACTAAATGCAAATTTAAATACTGATCGCATTATGCAACCATCTGATACCAATGTGGTATCAGCATTATCAATCTTTGGACTGATCCGGTGTTCTGGTAATCAATCCTACCCGTTGTTTCTGCGCATGCGCACAACACGAAATTCAGTGTCAAATTGTCCTACCTTTATGAATATTAGCTAGAAAAATACTCTGACGGGTAAAATTAAGTGCCAAACCATGCTACCTTTGTGAATGTTACCTACAAGCATACTTTAACGGGTGAAATGACCATCTGTTTAACATTTTGTGTTGACACACGAACGATTTCTAAACAAAACAGGAACTACATTAAAATTCATCGCAGAAAATTAACCAAACACAGCTGAACAATGAAGAAATAAGATTCTAAAATCCAATCAAGTCACAACAAACTATTCAGATCAAAGACTGCACCCAAGTACAAGCTGAGAGAAATGCTGAGCCTCCAAACTCCAGAACTCACTGTAGTTTTCTTTTTACAAAAAAAAAGTCAAAGAGGGCAAAGTGAAAGACTTGGGAATAATTCAGTTTCATTAAAAAAACAAAAAAACAAACAAGGTTTTTCCAAAAGTTGTTTATTTTTTGTGGCACTAAGTCCTCTGACTTCATTAGATACCCCACAGACTCATGAGAACTATTCTGTTGGTGCAACAAAGCCATCTTCGGCCCAAAATGAACATGGCATCCTCAGTTACTTTGTGAAAACAGCAGAAGTGAAAGCATCAACCCCCCCCTACAAAAACACCATTCAGACAGCCAGCTCTTGGATGTGAATGCACATTTAAAACTCAGACATTTGACACAATTAAGGAAATAGTTTCCACTTTAATTCAAATTTCACCTAGAACATTTCACTGTAAGCAAACGGCAAACAAAGTGATGCTTAAAACTTCTGAATTCCCACGATTCGAGCAGGCAAATGTTTAAAAGAAAAGCACATTTAAAAACTGCTTTCAACAAATGTAAAATTTTGACAGTTTGTCCCTTTGGAGAAAAAAAAATAAATAAAAAAAATGACAACGGAAAAAACCCGTCTTGGACACAGAAGTCTAGAAACAGCAGGGTTTGTTAATGCATAAGAAGTCCCTCCAGGATTAAAAGGGCTCTGAACGAGCGGGTCGATGCACAACCGAGCAGTGACCCACACAATATTGTTTAGACCGCTACTGGGTGCCACCTAAAGTGTCATCACTTTCAGCTAAATTAACAATCATTTCTCAGCACATCAACACTACACTGTTCGTCCAACTTCAGCGCCTCTGTGTGCTCAGTCCACAGTCCTTTACTCCATAGAGTCGGGGTCTGCCTGGGCCATGTAGGCATCCAGTTCTGCGTCCAAATGTCCCTTAGTCTTTGACATGTAGGCATCCAGCTGGTTGTCCAGCTGCTCGCGAGTAACAGCCGGTCTACCGACACCTCGGCCACGTCCACGTCGCCCAGCAAAACCGCCACGTCCACGCAGCCCCCCGCGACCTGTCAAGCAACACAGAGCAGAAATCTTCAGGAGTTTGTTAAACTGAAGAGCAAATGTTTTGTTGGCTCTGAATTTAAAGTCCCCCTCACAAAGTCTTCAATAATCTTATCTTAGAGCCCTCAAAGAACCGCATCACCCCAACAGAGCACCTCGCTCCCAATCTGCTGCTTCACTTGTAGCTCATCAGATAATTGAAGTTTAAATGGGAGGCAGAGCCTTCAGCTTCTGTGGAAGAGCTCCCAGTCTGGATCCAGGAGACAGACACCCTCTGTCCTTTTTAAGATTAGGCTCAAACCTTTCCTTTTTGCTAAAGCATATAGTTAAGGCTGGATCAGGTGACCCTGAATCCTTCCTTAGTTACTCTACAATAGGCCTAGGCTGCCAGGAGCTTCCCATGATGCACTTTATGCACCTTTATCCAGCTACAGCATTTACCCCACTCTACATTTAGTCATTAGTTATCACTTTTTGTTGTCCTGTGTCAGCGTCTCTACCGTAACATGAAGCACTTTGAGGCGAGCGCTGCTGTGACTTGCACTGTATGAATAAAACAGTTTTGAATAGATATTAAAAATGACAGTTCACTGGTGCTACACAAATAAGCTGAATTAAATAACAATAAGCCCCTGACCTCTGGGCATTCCTCGAGCTGCTCCTCGGGACAGAGCTCCTCCTCTTCCAACACCCGCACCACGCTGGCGGCCTCCTCTACGCATTGCCATACGACCGGCAGAACCACGGCCTCGCATGGGCCCACCTGTAGGAACTCGCTTCCCTGTGTAATGCAAAGCCAACACTCAGTAGGAGCACGAAGCAAGACTTAAAAACGAAGCGACAGTCAAACCAACGTTTCTGAAAGCATTTCACTAGTCCCACATGGCATTAAGGTTGGCGGCCCGTCTCCTGCAGACATCCCAGGTACCAGTTGCCTAGGTAATTCTCTAATGCATTCAATGCTAGGCTACATGTCAATCAATGGCACCCTGCGCACTCATTGGTAGTCGCTTGCATGGAAGTTGAGATGAGAGATAAGATCCTGGGTCCCACCTGCCAAATGTGTTTCACCATCTACAGTCTCCTGCAAATCACTTCCAGTATGTACACAGCTTAAAGGATGCCATTAGAATCCAGGCACTGAAGTTTGTTGATACATACCTCTCAGGGACAGAGCTCCCCTCATTATGCCTCCTCTGCCTCGTCCCCGAAGACCTCCTCTGTTCATCCCGCGCATTCCTCCTCTGCCTCCTGGAGGTCCTCCACGCATCAGAGCCCCAACAGGCCGACCCAGCCGGGCTTGGATGTTGCTCTTCCCCAGTCGCTGCTTTAGGCTCTGACACATGTTAATTACAAATGCTACATTACAAAAGCAATTACGACAAAATTAAAATCAGTAAGCTGAATCCTCAGGAAATGTCATCTTGCACATGGCAGTAACAGGAGCCTCGTAATGACCTGCAGCTCAGACTCACAGCAAGTCTTTACTGAACGAGGCCAGCGTGACCTACAGGTGCTGGGCAGGCTGGATTTCACGTGCTGCCACAGAGCTGCGATGAAGGCTGCAATCATGCTGCTCTGTGTGCATGCACACGTTTCACCCAGGACTCTCACACTCTGCACAAACGCTGCAGTCGACTCCAATCACAAACGTTAGCAAATAAGAAATCAAATCTAAAATGCTGTCGGTACCTTAGCTGGATTCTTCCTTTGATTTTAATTTTGAAAGAGCCAGGAACTACATCATTTTAAAAGGTCTTATACTTGTACAGGAGTTGTTCCAAAATCAAAGGGCTTTGAACATTTCTGTCAAAAGGGACATTTTAACTTGGACTCTGCAGTCAGTTTAAGGTTGCCATGAAAACTGAAACAAGCCCAGGGGATGATCGTCTTCCGACCCATTTTTCAATCCCCGTTATTTGGAAAGAACATTTGGAAATCAGAGCAGCGTGTGGAGAATTAAGTCACCCGAAACTCAAAAGAAATGCCTAATTGTCAAACACTGATCAGAGCTGTGAGCAGCAGAAGCTTTTCACATTTCAAACTGGGCTGTGGCAGTCCAAGGTTTGGGGAATGGCTGGAATAATAAACCGTTTTGGCACGATCGCTTTTACGTCATTGTTAATATAAAAATGGAAAAATCCAGGTGTTTTCCTATCAAACCTGATACCATCCCTCAGCATCACTGCTGACACTGTGGTTTGATGTCTGCAGGCTCCAGGTAATCTTTTTTGTTTTTTAAATTTCACATCACACTTTGTCCACAGACTGACCAGGTCAGAGACCAGCTGGAGGACTGGATGGATCCAAAATATTCAAGATCACAGATTGTGACTGGACCACAGATGCAGTTCAGCTTCGGTTGTGCTCTTTATTTACCCACTGCTGTGGTGAACAGCAGCATCAGAGAACCACGGGTGACTGATTTCCTTCTCTACTCACACACTCAGGCCACGTCCACATGGACACAGGTGTTTTTGTAAACTGAGATTTTCCGTTTAAATAAAAAAATCCCGTCAACATTTATATGCAAAAAACAAACTGAATAGCTTTCAAAAACGACCCAAAGCAACAGGAGGCGATATAATCAGGGCTGCACATAAGTGGTCCGCAGGTACGCATGCGCTGTCAAAATGAAAGACGCGCACCAGATAAGAAATTACAACGCGCGTTTGCGTCCATATAAAAAGCTGTTTTTTTCCACTAGAGTGGGATTTTCACGACACATTCTGCACCACATCTCTGTGCGTTCATCATTTGTTTGAAGCCAGCTCACCTCCTGCAACCACTTTTCCGAGAATACGTGCTTCTTCGGACTCCTTCTGATATTTCTTTGGAGGTGGAGGAACATCACAGTAATTGCTTAAAGGAGCTTCTGCGACATCTTTAAGAGTTCTAACCAAATGTCTGACCTCCTCCAGAAAATCTTATGTACGCGAACGCGCGTTGCAACTTCTTATCTGGTGCGCATCTTTTATTTTGACAGCGCATGCGCACCTGCGGACCACTTATGTGCAGCCCTGTCTATAATCCTAACTGTGTAGAAATGTTAGCCAATCAGAAGTCGAGCAGCCTGGGAGGGAAAGCGTAAACAAAGATGTCTTTCTAAACTGTATTTGTATATGAAAGCATGTAAAAGCTGCAGATTTAACAGCAACAATATTTTGTCAATATTGTAGAAATTCATCGCATGGAAACAATAACGTGTGATGCAAAAAAAAGGTGCACACCCTTGGCGTTGAGTCCACACATAAAGTTTTTAAAAATCTGTTTTCAGTGATGCAAAACGCCGTGCACGTGTGGATGAAAGGCCCAACGCACAGAAGAAGCTGCGTTCTCAAAAACACTCGTGTACGTGTGGACGTAGCCTTAATTCGGGTTAAACATATTCAGATGGAACCAACAGTGCCACGGACACCAATTTCACCTGAGCGTCGCGCTCACCTGCTTGTGATTCAGAGCGGCTTGCACCGAAGGCCGGTTCTCCATCTGCTGGGCCAGCCGACGATTGCGGGCGCTAGCCAAATGCTGCTGTTGCATGGTGGCTCGAATGCTTACCGCAGTGGGTTGCTTGTTCTTCAGCATGTTAGTGAAGCTTTAGAGGTGGGAGGGAAAAAGAAGGAGGAAGTAAAAGAAGGGGACAGGGGATATACAGAGGAGGAGGAAGCAGGGTTCCACATCATGTCATTTCTCATATGGACGATCGTGGCAGCTCTTTAGTCATGTTAGACTTTGTTCCACTTGTTGGCACTTATTTTCTCTCTCAATCATTTGATATTCCAGAGTTACTTACACTTGACTTTAGCCTGTGTTGTAAAATTAACACAAGGAGAAAAAAACAGTTGAAAGAAGACTTCAGGACAGAAGGAGAGAGAAAGTTTCAGAAGAAGAGCCACAATTGCCACTTACGAGCCTCCAGCTGACACTGCGGGGATGTCATCATGTCGCAGCAGCAGAGGCCAGGGCATGAGGTGTGCTTTGGCACCCAGCCACTTACAGGATGGACCGTGACTTTATTTAAACCACCAAGTGGTCAGGAACTAGGGAACTGGGGGGAAGGGGTAGTCCCTTGTCACGTCCAAGCTAGGACTGAGTACGCTGAGCAGGGAAAGGAGAAAGAAGAAGAAGAAGAAAGATGATAGAACACGAGGAGATAAAAAGCTTCACTTTTACTGGTCTGAGAGAGAAAAAGATGAGAGGCAGAAAAGACGAGATGCCCCATCTCACTGACTTAGCTTTAGCTCTCCTGTCCCATTTAATGGTGTATACATGACGTATACAGTGCTGTTTAAACAAGGAGCCAGCGTGCCGAGGCATTTACAGGATGGTGGTCTGGTTCTGCGTATGCTTTACCAACCACGACCGCTACAGTCACCCCTCGTCTACATGTGCGTGCTGCTCACACAAAACATTTGGCCTGGGCAAGCCCCTCCTGCCCCACACTTCATTTACATGTAACACTTGTTTGTGTGTGGGACAGGGCCAAGAGAGTTGAATGAGCAGCGCACACACGGGGAACAGCCAGAGCTGCATCCATATCAGGTTTGGTCCAACAGTAGGTTCCGCAGAGAGTATCAGAACCTGCACAAGCCAAGGCTGGCAGCAGGTGACTAATTTCTGACAGGGTGCGTAGCCTCTCACCGCTCATTTAGGGACACTTTGGTGGTGCTTTTCAGGACAACTTTTTGGGAGGCAGCCGCACTCATTTTGAAAGCCTTTGATTGTAGAGTCCTGGAAACAGAAAAGAGAATGTGTTTCACCTCCCTCTCTTTTACACATAATGTACGCACTACTACTAGAAGTTAAATTACCACTTTTAAGTCACTGTTGCAAGGAATTTGCTGTAATTAACATCAGCTGTTACACACGTGTTTAACGGAGAGATTATTTTGAGGACTACACACAGTGTCACACAAATCCTCCCTGTAGGAGTAACCCACGACCCCCTCCCACCCAAGCTACACTTCAGACCACCGCCAGTTTGGTTGACTTAGCAAAGTTTTCAACTTCTTTAAACTCTTTTCTGTGTCACCAGCAACAAAAGGGATCGATTCTTTAAGAGAACGTTTTAATTTTAACCCAATTGTCGATCACGTCCGGTGGAAAAATTTAATGTTTAGCGAGCGTCCATCCGGTTATAACAAACTGCAGAGACAAGAACACGGAGTAACGATTCCGCCTCGTCTTCGCTAGCATGTCGTTTATCGACGAACAACAACTTCGTCTCATACTTACAGCGGATTCTGCGTTGGTAGAGAAATGCCTCAAAGCTAGCTAAGGTTAGCTTTAGCAGCACGGCGGCTTCGTATAGGTGTCCGTGTATCCTGTTTAAATACAACTGACCATATACTAGCTCCCCACGCACGCGCGGCTTGAAACAGCGCTTTGACCCTATATCAAACTCTCCCAGGAATATTGTAATAACGCGGAAATCGAGACTCCTTCGCGATCCGAAAGCCTAAAATGGTGCTCCTGGCTACTGATGGGAAGAAAATGGAGAGGTTCTTGTGACGCTGACGTCACGAGGGCACGACTTCCTGTCCGCTCGCGCTGGTTCAGTAAAATGGCAGCTACAGCTTTAGTCGAAGGTTCTTCTGGTAACGATGCTGTTGCCGAGGGTTTGCTCGACCTCCTGAGACCAGCGATACAGCAGCTCGACCTGCATGTGAACTCGGTCAGGTAACTCGCGTCCTCGTTAGATTAGACCGCGCCAGCTTGTTGACAGTCAGCTGACTTTCCCCGTCAGACTGATTGTTTTGTTGTTCAGTTGTCTCTGGACTCACGCGACTCACGTTTCTTTACAGAAAAAGCCAAGTGGAATTAAGAGAACATATAGACGGTCTGGCCACAGGTAAGGTCCTGCTTCAAATATAGCGTCAGCTATAAAAGATTCATAAATAACGTGCTGTGTGCGGTTTTTCAGAGTTATGCAGGATAAACGAACATCAGAAGGTGGCTCTGGACCTGGACCCATATGTAAAGAAGTTGCTGAATGCGAGGCGTAGAGTTGTGCTAGTAAACAACATCCTGCAGAACGCTCAGGTCAGTGACCAGTCTGTAGCTGATCTTCTTCTGTATCACGCTCTGCCCGTCAGCATGCCTACGATCAGCCTTCAGACATTAGGCAGGAAATTAGTATAATGTAATATTGGGCCCCTGTAAGGGAGGTACAGTGAGTGGGCATCACGTGTGCGACCTGAGTGGAACATGTGACGTAGAGTAACTATAATAATAATAATAATACATTTTATTTAAATAGCGCCTTTCAAAGCACCCAAGGACACTGTACAACAGATAAAAACTGGAAATATACACAATGATAAAAATAAAAGATAAAAGTTGAGTAACTATGGATTTGATTCTCCTAACACTGCCGGACTTCATCCACATGTTCACGCACAGCTGTAACTGCAGGCTGTCTGCGTCATTTCCATCATCTTTGGGTGAATCCTGTGAACGTCTGTGTGCCCTTCAGTTTGTTCTGAAATCATCATGTATCTATCAGGTTATCTTTGCAAAATATTTACATTTGTTTAATACTATGAAACATTCAAGTGTGACAAATATGCAACAAATGGAGCAAATAATTGTTTTACTCCATTATAATTGTCTGGGCAGACTCTGCAGTGCACACACGCTCAGGGCAGATTAGTTTGACTTTTAAGAAAAATGAGTATAGTAAGAACGAGTTGCCTGGTCCTGATGTTTACTGGTGTACACGTCTGCAAACAAGTAGAATCTCAGCCTTATAAAGTAGCAAGTGAACACAGCGGAGCGTTTAGCAGCTCTAGACTCAGATATTTATCTTTAGGAGATTCGAGCTGAGTTAAAAGGAAGTTGAATGTTGGGTTTATAGCTGGACACACAACTCCACAAAGAGTTAAAGCTGCTTTAAAATGTTTGCACAGCAAGAAATGAAGAAGTTCTTCACTTTATGTTTTTCGTGATTTGGCACAAACTTCCACTATAGTAAATAATAATTACTGCTACTAATAATATTGCTACGATCACCAACACTACAAATACTGTATGACGAGACTTATAATTCCGATTTCCATGGCGACCACAGATATACTAACTATTCAAGTTACCTGAAAATGGTGTGAAAACGATATAGAAACATTACACAACCTGAGCTTTCTTTGTCCAGGAACGTCTGAGGCGGCTCAACCACAACGTGGCCAAAGAGACGGCGCGGAGGAAGACGATACTGGAGACATCGGGCGTCTTCGCTTCCCGCTCACCTAGTAAACCATGAACCTCACCTTGAACCTCCTGCTCCACACAGTAAATACTGTGAGCTATTTTGATCAGCAGGAAAGGATGATTGTGATTATAGGAAGCTAAAAACCAGGAGGGGCCGGTCTTTGACATTTGCTTGTCTTTTTGTTTAATACCTCGCTGATGTTCTGCTTTTGTCACAGTGAAAAAGCTGCTGTCTGCTTACCATTTGGCAACTTCAGAGTACGGGCTTGCACAGTGGAGATATTTATGTAATAATTCTAATGCACTCAATAAATAGATACACTATGTGGACAAAACTACAGGAGCCACAGCTCTTAATCTTTTGATGTTTTTATTGCCACAGGTGTGTGAAATCAATCACTGGCTTTGCAACCTGCCTCACAAACATTTGTGAAAGAATGGGTCATTCACTGTAAGGCAGTGTGGAAGTGTACAAGATGCCACTGTCGGTGAATCTTTACTCCACGATGATACACAATCAACTGGAAGTGGTATTCACTGGTGTCAAAAGTGGAAGTGTTGGAAACCCCAGTAACTCAGCAGCCCAGTGGCAGACCACAGTTAGGGCCTTATATATTTGGACACTGACACAAGTTGCTGTTGTTTTCTTTCTTTTTTTCTTTTACCCGTTTACTGAAACATATTCCAATTATAGTTATATAATGGACACTGACATAATGTGCAGCTTTCATTTGAGACAATCTTCATCCAAATTGGATGAAGGGTTTAGGACACAGGTGTCGAACTCCAGGCCTCGAGGGCCGGTGTCCTGCGGGTTTTAGATGTGTCCTTGAACCAACACAGCTGATTGAAATGGCTAAATGACCTCCTCAACATGTCTTGAAGTTCTCCAGAGACTGGTAATGAAATAATCATGTGATTCAAGTGTGTTGACCCAGGGTGAGATCTAAAACTTGCAGGACACCGGCCCTCGAGGCCTGGAGTTCGACACCCCTGGTTTAGGAGTTTCAGCTCCTTAACATGTGCCACCTGCTTTTTAAACGAACCAAAAGTAATTGGACAAATGTGGGTGATTCCTTCGTTATGTCATTATCAATTAAGCAGATAAAAGGCCTGGAGTTGATTTGAGGTGTGGTGTTTGCATTTGGAAGACAACATGTGGTCAAAGGAGCTCTACATGCAGGTGAAACAGGCCGTACTTAAACTGGAAACAGAAAAAACTCACCTGAGAAATTGCTGCAATATTACGAGTGGCAAAATCTTCAGATTGTACATCCTGAGAAAGAAAGAAAGCACTGGTGAACTCAGCAACACAAAAAGACCTGGACGTCCACAGAAGACAGCAGTGGTGGATGATCACAGAATCATTTCCACGGTGAAGAGAAACCCCATCACAACCAGGTGAACAACACTCTCCAGGAGAGGTAGCTGTATCGATGTCCAAGTCTAAATGCAGAGGGTTCACTGCAAGGTGCAGGCCGACCATAAGCCTCAAGAATATAAAGGCTAGATTGGACTTTGATTAAACAAAAAGAACTGAAAAAGCCAGCACAGTTGTGGAAAAACATCCTTTGGACAGATGAAACCAAGATCAACCAGAACGATGGCAAGAAAACAGTATGACGAAGGTGTGGAACAGCTCGTGATCAGAAACATACCACATCATCTGTAAAACACAGTGATGGCTCAGGTGTGCATGGCTGCCAGTGGCACTGGGACACTGGTGTCTATTAACGATGTGACACAGGACAGAGGCAGCAGCGTGAACTCTGAGGTGTTCAGAGACAGCCTGTCTGCTCACATCCAGCTAAATGCAGTCAAACTGAATGTTCCATAGTTCAGATGGACAATGACCCAAAACAACCCAGTTTATTAAAGCAAAACAGTGGGATATTCTTAAATGGCCAAGTCAGTCACCTGATCCTAGCCCAGCTGAGCATTTCACTTACTGAAGACTGAACCTGAGACAGAAAGGCCCACAAACAAACAGCAACTGAAAGCTGCTGCAGTGACGGCCTGGCAGCATTAAACAGAAGGACACCATCATGTGGTGATGTCCACGAGTCCAGACTTCAGGCTGTCAGTGTCAGCAAAGAGCTTTCAACCAAGTATTACAAGTGAACATTTTACTTTCAGTTATTTAATTTGTCCTTTTGAGCCCCTGAAATGAAGGGATTGTGTTTTAAAAAAAGATCCAGGTCGTTTCATTTTTCCGCAATCATTTTGTTCAACCCACTGAATTACAGCTGAAAGTCTGCACTTCAGCTGCATCCAAGTTAATTAAAATGCATTGTGGTGAATTACAGAACCAAAATCAGAAAAAGTTGTTACGGCTCCCTCCAAGTGTAATATGTAGGTGGCTCAGAACGTTTCTCCATGTAATGTACAGTAAATACTTCTATCCATGATGGCAATGTTAGAAATGATGCTCCTGTAACAACATGCAAGAGAGAAGATGTGATGTTTCTTGGGTTCCTGCTGGAGGCACATGGAGGTCATTGGCTTCAGGACCTTCTCCTATGCAACATGACTAATGTCCTTTAAAGGCTGTATTTTAATCCAAACATTTTCCTAAAATAAACCTGAACATAATGTAAATTATTATAAGACTTTGTATCAGAAAAGCCCCAAATGTAAACTACTGGCTCTCTGTGCTGATGTGATCTGAGTTTGTTTCGCTGCCTCTTATTTGTCCTGCAGTTACACAAGCACAGTGTTTGTTCCCTTAATGTTGTGGCTGTTTGTCCTGGAGTAGTTTCAAAGCAGACGCGTATTGTGAAGTACTTAGAGGGACTGTTTTGTTTAAACCAGAGTAGAAACTTGCTTGTGGAAGGTAAACTCTCTGTACACGTTGAATTGTATGTTCAGCTATAGACACATTAAATACTTAAAGACACTTAAATGCAAATGTACCTGTAGAGCGTAGTGTCTGTCTTTAGTTGTCTGTATTTTTACCAAATCGTATTGGGAGAAATGCGTGGTGTTCACAGATCTGACATTTTGGAAACAAAGATGTTCTGTTTGGACTGTGAATGTTTCACTGAGTCCATTCTTCTGCAACAATCTCAGCACCTCTGGCTTGTTATTGGGAGACAGGATCTAAAATTTTCATTAGAAGGGTCACATCTGATTTAAAACGATCATGGCATAGCCCCCTCCCCCCACGGACGTTACCGCAGTCTTCGTGTAAGGATTCTCCGAGTGCCATTTTCCCTGTTTTTGCTGCTAGAAGGCCAAAGTTGTGCTGTTGCTCATGTAAATGACGTGTCAGTGAACTAACATGCGTCGTTGATGAATTCAGTGTGAGCTGGAGTCGTGCTCAAATACCGAGCCGTGCCGTTCCAGTTGGTGGTGGTGACTCGGGGCTAATCCTCAGCGGCGCCACTTTAGAAAAACAGTCTCGCGGGCCAATCTAGGCGAACCAGACAGTTCGTGGCTAGCGGTCCTGCTGTGAGAACCGCGGCGCGATTGGCCGAGAGGTGCGTGCCCTGTGACACCTGACCGCCGATTGGCTGCGGCGTGTCGAGACACTGACGCGCACGTCGTCTCCCAGCTATTGTTATTGTGGCGTGCACGAGAGGAAGGGGCAAGATGCACGAGGAGACAGTGGGTCTGATAAAGGGATGAAACAACTGAGAAACATCAAGCTAGCGCAGTAGAGCCACTGAGAAACGCTGGCTTTCTCCACTACAGGAATTCACAGAGAAATCCCCCCGTGAACACAGCGAGACACTCAGATCTAACAAAAATCGCTATAAACACAAACGGCAGCTCTGGGCAGCAGACACAGCACGCAGAGCTGTCGGAGTGCAACACTTGAGGCAATTGTCGAACAGCTCAGCGATCGTTCTGTCCAAGTTCTTCTCTACTTTGGCTGATGTGTAAGTAGAAATAGTTTCTCTATCTTTGATTCTATTTTTCGTCATTGCTGTTACGACAGCGTGAGGAAGAGTCAAGTTAGCTTGCTAAATTGTTGCTTTTAATCTGCAACAACTGCTCTTTCTACTGTCCCGTTTGGTACACACTGACCGGTGTTGTATCGTCCGTTTTCCGGTTCCAGCGTTCAAATATGTCCAATCTTATTGTTAAGTTTACGTGGAAAATGTAAATAACCTTCATATTTATATCTGTATTATATCAGCTGGGCATGTCGAGGCAGCAGGTTTCGGGATGTGCGGAATGTCACTGACTGGAATGAATGGCCTGGAAACTGTTCAGGTTTTGTTAAGCACATAGGACACGGTCAGTTTGGCGTGGCCGTGTCCATTCAACTGTGATTTTGCATTGCGAGTATTAGATTGGTGCTCCTGTTTCATGAACAGCATGTTTAGGGAAGTGTGTGTGCGGTTAGGAAAGTATAGCAGTCACTAAAAGCAGCGGCTGCCTGTATGCTTTCCATGAGTTAGGCTATAGTAAAAGGCCGTATTACATTACAATACCTTCTCCACACGCTTAGAAACTGTGCGCAGAACACACTGTGCATTTCATTTTAAAGCAAATAGCAGATATTTCAAAGTTCGCATATGTGTTTGCAAAGAAACATTCACAAGACTGTGCTGTACAGTTTTAAAGTATGAACCTTGAGGTAATTCTATATGACTATACTTTGCTGCATGACATTTACTTCCCCATGTTGTTACACTTCAGTCTGTAAAGTTGTAGTTCTTTTTTACCTTTGGTATCTTGCTTGGTATCTCACTGTGGGAAGCGCCCTCTGGTGTGACCAGTCACGGTCTACCACGCCGGGCTAAGACAAACCAGTCGCTTCAAGGACAGGGGGTCCCCAACCCCCTTTATTAGTGGCCACACCAGGCATTCCTTCTTCCCCATGAAGATCACTAGACCTCCTCAGTGGTCCCCGACCAAGTTTATCCAGTGCTTGTTGATGCAGGTCCATGAACGTGGGTTTTTCCGCTTTCACAAATGTTCCTACACTGGAATTATATTTTTTCGTCACAGTATATTGTTTTTAGTAAGCGGTTTTAAAGCTAGCACCTCAAGTGAGCTTGTGACTGTGTAGCTATTGTTAGCTGTCAAAGCTGAGCATTAGTGGGTATGGCTCACATTGGATCCTCTCAGGGGAACGCTGGTGGTGGGAAGGTTAAGGATGTCGCATCCTGCCCTCGCCCAGCTGTTGTGGGTTGACTGTCTTGGGGAAACAACCCATCCCCTCTGCATCTGTATCGTGTCAGGCACACACTGGCATCACTCCCAGAATCCTGGTCCCGGAGGCTGAATTTCCTCCTCTCTTCAACCGGCTTCTTGACTGGAAAGAGGGATGCGGAGAAGACAAGGGGGATGATGTTGACATGGATATCCTTGGAGACAAAAATGATGCCCAGGTGTCTGTACGAAAGGAAAACATTGGCAGCTCATTAGACAACCACCGATGGAAGTTTTGGTGCATCCCACCCTCCACAGGGACTTAGGAACTGTGGTGCTGCGGCTCAGTGGGCAGCACTCACAGAAATCAAAATCAAGATTAAACTCGAAATAATATTTTGGAAAAAAGTGACATTACAGTTGAGTACCACATCAATAAATCGAGTCAAACCAAGTAGGCACTAGTGGAAAAGAGCCAAAGGAGTGCTGTCCTCTTTCCCCATGCCTGATTCACAATCACAATGCACACAGAGCCATGGTAAGTTTGTCCAGAGCTTTCTTTTAGTACATTAGCAGTCTGATTAATGAGGACATCAGTGCAAACATCACAGTTCCTTCACTTCTAATTAGATGCAGCAGCAAAAAAAGCATGAACGAAGAAACAATGTTAGCTAGCTAGCTATATAGCATAAATGCACTGATCAGTATGCTGCTGTGACAGCTTGCCTCAGTTTGACCCAGCTTGGCAGTAAAAGAGGACCGTTACTTCACCTCTGAAACCAGAGTCTCCCTCAGTACCTCCATGTTTATTATGCTAAAAGGCGACTGTGCCAAGTTGGTGTCATGCAGCAGATTGATTTGATTTCTAATGAAATTTCATGCAGATGAAATCCATGAATCACATCAGGGAACTTTGCAATGATTTAAGTAAATGAATGTTGTTAAACGGCTTGTTAAAACTTTGTTATTGTTGTTTAAAAGGAAAAAAGAATGCATGCCAAACCACATAAACATGAACAATCACATATGGTTTAGCATATTTCTGAGGTTCTATTGTAGTAATGATCACATACTTGATCATCATCTGTAGTAGATGGCTGATGAGGAAGCTGGGTGACACACAACAGACCCGTGGTTGGTACAGTAAAGATCAGACAGAACCAGTCAGACCACAAAGTTGGTTTCAAAATGTCTGTGGCTGTCATCCTGCTTTTTAACACAAAGTGTCTAAAATGATGTAAATATGTGAATTAATAATTAGTTGTTAATCACCTGAGCAGGTCCAATGATGGTGGAAGATGGTTTGCCTCCCAGTGCTGTCAGTGGGAGGCAAACCATCTTCCACCATCACAGAATCCTAAAAGGACGGAGACAGGAGCGTGGACACGTCTGTGCCTCCACCTGTTCTCTGTATGTTCTCTGTATGTTCTCTGTATGTTCTCTGTATGTTCTCCCTGATCACGGATTTCTGATGTCTGTGTGGATTTACTCAGTGCTAATGTGCTAACGTTTATTAAGATGAAGAAAATTAGAATTATTCAATTAAAGCCTCTGGCTTTGTGAAGATATCAGTCTGCACATTTGTGAATATTTTTCTGCAACTGCAAATTAAAAACGCGTGTGAACAATGTCAAAATACAGTCCTCACATTTTATTTGACAAATGTTCACATTTTGCATCATATGTACCTTCATACCTCAGTGTGCCCTCACAGCTAGCTTTGCCTTTAGGAAGAGTAACCAGCTCTTTGTGGCCCGGCTGCCTCGTGGAGCCTTTTCAACCCTGGGGTGTTATCGTCAGTCAAGTCTGTGACTCAAGCATGAGGTGACATAGGATTTCAACATTTCTACCATAGTTGCGTCCACTGAAAATCTCAGATCAGTTTGAATTTCAGTGACCTCGACCTCAAGATGAAGGTCAGAGGTCAAGTTTTCTGAAAATCTTGTGAATGGGATAATTTGAGGACGAGGTGGAGTAGGGGTGGCTCAGTGCTGAAGTGGTTAACAGTTCTTATTCACATTCATATCTGTAAACAATCCCTAGCTCAGGACTGGGAGGAGACAAAAAGCCAGCCTGAGAAACACCTTCTTCATCTTTAGTGAGTCTTGTGTACGTGGCCTCACTAGGATCCACTAAGTGTTGGTGTTCTTGCTCCACTAACAGGGAACGATTCAGAGCTGGGCCATCATGATGCCAGTGAACTTTCTGGTCACTCATTGGTGGACCAACTTAACACCAGGTAAGCAACACAGGAATGACGCCATGTTTTAGCTGCCATCAACTTTAGATGTCTCTGCTTTTTGTCACATGCCTAGTAAGTAGAACAAATGTCCATTTTTGGCCCTGTGACAGCACCATCATGTCAGTAAACCCACCAAGCAGCAACGATGCCTGCCTCAGCATCGTCCACAGCCTCATGTGCCACCGGCAGGGCGGGGAGAACGAGGGCTTTGCTAAGCGCGCCATCGAGAGTCTGGTGAAGAAGCTAAAGGAGAAGAAGGACGAGCTGGACTCTCTCATCACTGCCGTCACCACCAATGGTGTTCATCCCAGCAAGTGTGTCACCATCCAGAGGACTCTAGATGGACGGCTGCAGGTCAGTCCACCTGCACTTTGATCACTGCTTTGATCTTTCTGTGCATGATTCGTATGTTTATCAATGATTTCACTTTTTTCATTTCATGTTTACGAATTTCCTCGGCGGGTTAGAGTTGCTGTGGTCAGTATTCAACTGAAGTGCGATTCTATACACAATTATTAGTGCTTCGAGGTTTATTGGTGCAGCAGTCGTTTTGTTTAGGGCTGAAAGTGCGATTCAGGTTCACTGTTTATCACATACAGCATGTAGGCATAAAAAACGACAAAATGTCAGTGTTACAACGCCACAAACGTTCTGCCAAAATCCTGATGTCTTTGTGCAACAACACTCTTTGTATCCTATTGGCTTTGTCTTGCTCTGCTTTGGGGAATCGTCCCACATCACATTTCCTGCTTGGTTTGGTTTGTATTGACCTTGAAAGTTGTCGGTCTCTGGTTTGAATGAAGCATCCAGAGCAGGAGTCTCCAACTCAGAGGAGCCGGGGGCCGCTGCTGGCACTGTCGTCTCGTTGGACACTAAAGTGTTCAATTAGAACAAGAAAACAGCCACAATTATGTCCAAAAACAGTGTTTTTCTTTATTTTAACCTCCTAGGACCTGGGTCCACATATGTGGACATCACATTTTGGGTTATTTAGACCAAAATACTCAATTTTGCTCTACAAGGGCCTGCTGTGCACTTACGAGGACATTATGCTGCCGCTGTTCTACTGAAATTTTAAACTAATATCCTCATATGTGGCTCTCATTCTTCTTAGAAACAAAAATCTGGTAATTCTTTGTTTTTACATTCATCGGGTCCCAGTCAGCCCAAATATCAAAGAGAAATTAAAATGCTGCTGTGGAAGAGCTCAGGTCCTAGGAGGTTAAATATTGTATAATAAGACAAAGCTTCTTTCAACTCACTCTTAACTAACTGAAGCCTTTCGTTGAACTGCCAAATAAACAAATTGGTCCTGTCTTTCTGCACAGACACGTGGCAGCAGCTCTGCTATAACTTTGTTCGTATTTAACAAAGTGAAAATGCAGACATAGACCGTCTTTGTTTTCTTTATGAATAACTCTCACTAACCTAACACAGTTTGTACTCTCTTGTTAGCTCAGCCTGGTCTGAACCGTAGTAAAGGGACCGCCGGCTAATACGTCGAGTTAGGGGGTCTCTTGACTAGCTTTACTGTCTGGGTCAACTTTGCTAGCAGAGACAGAGAGAGGCGTTGAAAGGCTGGCCCAACGGAGCTTATTGTTTCAGAGGACAACTCGAACACGCTGTACAGTCGAGTCTTAACAGCTTACTCACAGCTGGGCTCGTCAGGCACTCTGTTTGGCTGCAGTGGTTTTATTATATTTACATGCTTCCATCTTTTTGATTCTGCTTCTCCTCCCTTCCTCGCGCTCACACACAATGGGAGAGGCGGTCCCGCAGGTTGTCCCTGCAGCACGGACCACACTGTGAATGAGGCTACGTTCTTAAAGGGCTCCGCCTGTAACACTCCGCCTGTTGCCTTCATATTAAATTCCGTATTAAATTGCGGGCCGCAAGTAGGGGTGACGTGGGCTGCAAACGGGCCGCGGGCCGCGAGTTTGTCTCCGTCTACATGACTAATTACCTACCGATCTTTGCTACAATTTAAAAGCTGACCTTTATGTGAAAACCTGAACTGTCAGAAAATTCTGTAGGTTTTTTCATACAGTGTCATCAGCCACTTTATTAGGTACACCTATTCAGCTGTAAATCTACAGTGGGATGCAAACGTTTAGGCAGCCTTGTTAGTAGTCATTATTTGCCTGTATAAATCATTGGTTGTTACAATAAAAAATGTCAGTTAAATACATCATATAGGAGACGCACACAGTGATATTTGAGAAGTGAAATGAAGTTTATTGGATTTACAGAAAGTGTGCAAGAATTGTTTAATGTTCTCTGAAGAGCAGCAACACGAGGTCTCAAAACAACTGTCAAATGACCTGAAGACAAAGATTGTTCAGCATCATGGTTTAGGGGAAGGACACAGAAAGCTGTCTCAGAGAGTTAAGCCGTCTGTTTCCACAGTTAGGAACATATTGAGAAAAAGACCACAGGCTCAGTTCAAGTTAAGGCTCGAAGTGACAGACCGAGAAAAATCTCGGAGAGACAGAAGCGACGGTGAGTACAGTCAGAGTCGACCCACAGACCAGCACCAAAGACCTGCAACATGATCTTGCAGATGGAGTCGCTGTGCATCGTTCAACCATTCGGCGCACTTTACACAAGGAGATGCTGCATGTGAGAGTGATGCAGAGGAAGCCTTTGCTCCGCCCACAGCACAAACAGAGCCGCTTGAGGTTTGCTGAAGCACATTTGGACAAACCAGCTTCATTCTGGAATAAGGTGCTGTGGGCTGATGAAACTAACATTGAGTTATTTGGGCATAACAAGCGGCGTTATGCATGGAGGAAAAAGAACACAGCAAGAACAACACCTGCTACCTACAGGAAAATATGGTGGTGGATCCATCATGCTGTGGGGCTGTGTGGCCAGTGCAGGGACTGGGAATCCTGTCAAAGTTGAGGGACACATGGATTCCACTCAGTATCAGCAGATTCTGGAGAATCAGAGACAAAGCTGAAGCTGCTCCAGGGCTGGATCTTTCAACAAGACAACGACCGAGACACTGCTCAAAATCCACTAAAGCTTTCATGCAGAGGAACAAGTACAACGTTCTGCAACGTTCATCTCAGCCCAGACCTGAATATTATTGAACATCTGTGCTGTGAGTTAGAGAGAGCTGTCCATGCTCGGAAGCCATCAAACCTGAATGAACGAGAGATGTTTTGTAGAGGAATGGTCCAAAATACCTTCAGCCACAATCCAGACTCTCATCAGGACCTACAGGAAGCGTTTAGAGGCTGGAGTTTCTGCAGACGGCGGATCTACTAAATATTGATTTCATTTCTTTGTGGCGCCCAAATTTATGCACCTGCCTGATTTTGTTTAAACAATTCTTGCACACTTTCTGTAAATCCAATAAACTTCATCTCACTTCTCAAATATCACTGTGTGCGTCTCCTATATGATGTATTTAACTGACATTTTTAATGTCACAACCAACGATTTATACAGGCAAATAATGACTACTAACAAGGCTGCCCAAACGTTTGCATCCCACTGTATAATCAGCCAATCACATGACAGCAACTGCATTTAGGTATGTGGCTAAGATGACCTGCAAGTTCCAACCAAGCATCAGAACGAGGCTGAGCGGTGATTAAAGGGACGTAACGTGGCCGATGGTGTCCGATAGTTGTAGTATTTTAAAAACTTCCGAGCTTCTGGACTTTTCCTGTACAAACTAAGGATTTGGCAGAAACAACATGAAAGCACAGGTCCATCCTGCCTTACATCGGTGGTGTAGGCTGGTGGTGGTGCAGGTGTGGTCTTGTGGGGATATCTCACCCCTTAGTAACAATTGAGCCTTGTGTAAACGTTTGAAGAAGCATTTTTGCCGACCATGTCCGGCCCTCCACAACCACAGTGTACACATATCAATGCAAAGTGGCGGATGAGTGCGTATGCAGCACTGGCTTCCCATCATGGTAACCAAGGCAAGCAGGGCTTGTGTGGTGAAATCTAACTTCACCTTGAAGTCTGCTGGCCATTGTCGGTGTAGTTTTATTTTGGGTGGTGTAGTGTTGAGGCCAAAATCTGAGACAACAGGACTAAGATGCGTGTTGAAGCTGCGCTCTGCTCTGCTAATCTGTACTGTTGTTGAACGCTGTCACTCAGACAGCAGTATACAGATCCACAAACAATTCTCTGCTGTACGCAGGAAGTCAACAAAGGTTTTCCTGTTGCGCTTCACAGCTTCCCTGTCGTAGCTCTAAAACAGGCTTCCTGGTTTAGACTGTCCTGGAACTGCTGTAATGTTGCTTTGCTGTCTCTTCAGGTGGCAGGCAGGAAAGGCTTCCCTCATGTGATTTACGCACGGCTGTGGCGCTGGCCTGACCTCCACAAGAATGAACTAAAGCATGTCAAATTCTGCCAGTATGCTTTTGACCTCAAGTATGACAGCGTGTGTGTCAACCCCTACCATTATGAGAGGGTGGTGTCACCAGGCATCGGTAGGTCAACGCTTTACCTCAGCAGCTCTTACGTGGACTCCACGGTCTCCTTAACTGCAATGACATTATGACATCATGAATGACAGATATTGTTGTGATGTCTTCAGTCAAAATGTTTCTCTTATTCTGTCCCTGTTCTCTAAAAGTTGGTCTCAGCCTTCAAAACACAGGTGAGTTCTGTTCCACAGAAACACAGCATGAACATTTCCAATCCACATGTAGTTGTGACAAAATACATTTAGTACATGTTTATGTTGTAACTGGGGACCTCGAGATTTGTTTGTATTCATCTGCAATGAGCGGTCTATAAGAAGTCTCCGTATTCCTCAGACGTGTGGTTGACACCACCTAACTAATGATACTGACAGAAAGCTGCGTGCGTGTTCTCATCATCCGAGTCACTCTGTGCTGTGCAGCCAACCACACACTTCGAACTCTCAAACATCTCTTTGTAACCGGGACAGAGAAGTCAAAAAACATTTACACAGCGACGACCGAAGCTGCCGAGAGGCTGGACTAAAATGACCCCGGGATCTGTAGGGATGGAATCAGTAAGAACGTAGCAATTCAAATTCCACTTGATGATTCAATTCCTCATCGATTCTGATTGGCTCCCTCTGCCATCACTGCTTAATTCCTCCCAGGAGACAGTAATTTGTTCCAGCAGTCGTTACGTTACTTTGTTGCCTGAACGGTGTCGCGAGCATTAGTGGAACAGATACGCGGGATCGACAGGCAAGCGGACCAACAAGTCCAAGGAAATGAACTGCTGGGCGCTGCTTCTCCGTTCCAGTCATTTATGTTTTTACTTTAAGGTTTATGGTCGATTCTCATGACAGTGATCAGAAGTGTTACACATGAATGTGGACGTTCTCCCTCAATCAGTGCTTATTACTAAACAAGCATGTTTCATGACAAAAATGCAAGTGTTAGTAAATGAAAGCAAAAAACGGCGTTAAAGATTTGTTCGTGTGCGTTTGTCCCACATGAGCAGCGTCTCTGATATTTATGTCCCTTCGTGAAAAAAGAGCCTGGCAACACTCGACAGCATTGTTGTTTCTCTCATTTTATTCCTAATATCACAACTTTATTTTTAAATAATGAGGAAACGAGCAGAGGAATGTATGTGTGATTCACACGAACACTAAACAGCTAAATGAAAACACCAGTGGTCGGCTAGTGAACAGGCCCACGTCACACTGTGACTTCTGTCACAATATTAAGTACATTCACATCATTGAAGGCCTTTGGCAGGTGACCCCTTACATGGTGTAGTCTGATATGAACCACTCATACATCCATCAGCATTAGATACAAATCAGTGCTGTGCCTCTTTGTGTGACCTCACCTCCTCCTGCCTCTCACAGCTGCATCGAGCGGACTAATCAAAGAAGAATACATCCCTGATTGTATACAGATGGACCTTCCGCCTGGTATGCCTCTGTCCGACCACCAAGCAGCTCCAGACCACTATAGTCCCCTTCTGCCCCCTTCTGAACCCCACGGCCCCCCACCTGTTACCAGATACTCTAACCTGGCTGTGTCACCCAAAGGTCAGCAGATCATTATTCAGCGCAGTTTGATGAACCTGTCAATGTTCATATCTTGTCATGTGTACTTTTGTTTTACACTGGGACTGCTCAAACTTTATATTAAGGGACGACAAAGCTTCTTTCTATCTTTCCTCCGCAGATAGTTGATAACAGTCACAGCATGTAAACCAGGTCCGACGTGCTCCTCTGTTTGTCTTCCAGTGCCTGCCTCTGGCTCCATGCTGCCACTGCAGGGCAGTCATGGTGATGGCTGTCTCCAAACTCCATCTCCACAGGCTCAAGTCATTCAACAACGACCTCAAAGCCCACCCCAGGTTTCCTCTCAGCAGCAGGCTGCCCAGCATCCCTCGCAGCACACCCACTCACAGCAGCCCCCTCTACCTCCCTCTCATTTGAATAGACAGAATGGATACAGCAGCAATACGCAGTCTCAGACTCAGCCTTCATTCCACAGTGAGCTCACGTCCTTGTACTAACACACTTCTTACAAATCAAAGCCTCTTGGTCCTGTTGCCAGTTCACCCAGTAATAAAAGAACCAAAAGCACTTGTTAGCATTCATATTTGTTTCCGTGGGTTAGTGCTGGACACGTCAGCTGGTTTGATTCATTCATTAACAGCAATCTTTTCATGCATGTGCTCCTGAGCTCGACACTAAACAGTGTAAACATGATGCTGCTTAATTCAATTCAGTTCAGTTTTATTTATATAGCGCCAAATCACAACAAAAGTCGCCTCAAGGCGCCTCATAGATACAGAGAAAAACCCAACAATCATATGACCCCCTATGAGCAGACACTTTGGCGACAGTGGGAAGGAAAAACTCCCTTTTAACAGGAAGAAACCTCCGGCAGAACCAGGCTCAGGGAGGGGCGGGGCCATAGTCTTGTCTTTTGTCAGCTTAGTCTGAAGTTTACAGCCACTAGAAGGAGGATTGTTCAGTTTCAAACATGCACTTAAACAGTAAATGTTGGATAAATATCTGAGTTCTAATCATTTTTAATTGGAAATAATATTTGTTTTATTTACAAATGAATTCTTAGTGCTGATTATATGCAGGTTATAAATAAATTTGCAGTGCAAAGAACAAACAAAGGTGCTTCTGATTTCTTCTGCACATTTAGCTGACGGATGTTTAGTAACTTATTCACTGGTTAATTTGACTTTTGCATACATTCATTTCAGATTTGAGCGCGTTATTTCAAAAACACTGATCACATTTTGCTTTCCTGTGACGCAGCTGTTTGGACAGGCAGTAGCACGGCCTCCTACACTCCCATTGGACCCCAGCAGGAAGGGCGCGGTCACCAACAGCCTCCTCTGCATCTTCCAAACCATCACTGTAAGAAATGCTTCACAATGTGTCCTGTTCTGATCACTGATACTCTGATATTTGAATGCACTGCTGCAGAACTTCCACCTTTATGAAGCCTCACACAGGGCGTGTGCACGCTGTGATGCCTGACACTGTGTGTGCACAGTCACATGCACAGGTCAAAAACTCACATTTCAAATGTGCTGTGCTTGAATGTTTGGGGAGGGGGAGGAGTTTGCTCACAATCACTTACTTCATGTGACATCACATTATTTTTTGATTTAACCATTTTCTGCATGACTTTAGGAGGTTTTTTTACTCTGTCCTTATATGTCAAATATTCAAATTGCAAGAAGGTGTCCTTCTTTTTACCATGACTGTATGTTCAGTTCACGTTCAGCACTTCTGTCATCATGTTTTTGTGTATTTGTATGTTTGTTGTCATGCACACACCCTGGACAGCCACACGTCTCAGCGTAAGGTCGAGTGTGGAAACGTCACAGCCTGCCACAGCCTTACAAATGTTCTGCTTTTTTCCCACTCCAGACTAATGTACTCATCTTTTTGCTTTTTAGGGTCCCAGCATCACAGCTCAACCTCTTTCCCTCCTTCAGGGTCCAGTCACTCAGGTTAGACACCATTTGTCAATATGAACACGGCCGTTCACCAATGATATTCCCAGCGGTTACATACGGAGACTTCTTTGATGCTCGTCTTTTGTCAGTTTGACATCTTAGTTGTTGTTTTTTGTCCACTGGACCCAACACACACACACACACACACACACACACACACACACACTGTTTGTGCTCCCAGTTCAACTTTCATATGCACAGCTCCACAGTCTCTGCTCAGAGCTGGTCTCTCGACTGTGATTAGTCCAAATGCACCGCCTGTGCCCCCCCCTGCCTCACTGAGCCGCCCCTCCCCTGCAGCTGAGCCAGTCGCACCCCCACAGTCACTTACTTTGTCCAAATGAAATTTTAACACAAAAATAAGGCTTTTTCCTAATTACTGAACTACATGGACGTCATAGAAATTCTAGATTCTGATCCAGCCATCTGTCAGTGTGGACCAGTCCGCTCTACCTCATATTGTCACAATATAGTTTCAGAGCTCTCAGGGCTGTGGGCTTGTACGTGGAATATCTGTCTTTAGATTTTCTCACAGAGTAACAGAAGCTGATGATGTGTTTTACTTACATATGGCTGATTTTCACGCATATTAAATGTCTATTAACACATCTCCACTTCTTATTTGTCCAAATCATTTTTGAGTCGTGCACTTCACAAACAGATCGTCTGTTTTCTTGACTTTGTTGTAAACATCTTTCTCTCTCACTGCAGGACCAGAGTTTTGGTGCTCTGTCTCCTACTTTGAAATGGATGTTCAGGTGGGGGAGATGTTCAAGGTGCCTTCCAGCTGCCCGGTAGTGACTGTGGATGGTTATGTTGACCCGTCAGGAGGTGATCGCTTCTGCCTCGGCCAGCTGAGTAATGTCCATCGCACAGATGCAAGTGAGAGGGCCAGGTGTGTTGACGCAGACACACAAACTGTGCAATGACTTTTCGAATACTCAGCAAAGAACATCAGCCTTCAGTTTTATTTATACAAATCACAGCAACAGTCGCCTCAAGGCGCTTTGTATTGTGCGGTCGACCCGACAATAATTCCTCTCCCAAAGTGAGACTGTACGATACAGCACTGATTAGTGAGGCTTTATGATAGCTCGTAAACATCAAATTCCAAAAGACAATTAGTGACAGTTTCTGGATTACATGTGGTTGTATTTCACTGCAAAATAAAACCATTTATCCGCTTCCCCGTGTCAGGGTCGGGGGGGGTGGAGCCTATCCCAGCTATCATAGGCCGAGAGGCAGGTTACATCCTGGACAGGTCGCCCGTGTGTCACAGGGCTTACACAGAGAGACAGACAACCATTTACAACCTAACCCAGCTAACTGCATGTCTTTGGACTGTGGGACGAAGCCGGAGTACCCGGAGAGAACCCACACAAACACTGGGAGCAGACTCCACACAGAAGGACCCCGGCCAGGTGCTGGAATTGAACTCAGGACCTTGTTGCTGTGAGGCGACAGTGCTAACCGCTGTGCAAAATTGTAAAAATGTGAAATATTTTTTTATCATGAATTTATTTATCGCAGAAATGAAGAAAATCACAGCATCAGTTGCCTCGTGGCACTTTCTATTGTAAGACCTTACAGTAAAACAGAAAAACCAGAGAAAACACCAACAATCGCATGACCCTACATGAACACGTGCTTTAGCAACAGCGGGAAGGAAAAACTCCCTTTCAACAGGAAGAAACCTCCAGAACCAGGCTCAGGGAGGGGCGGGGCCATCTGCTGCGACCACGTGATGGCAGAACGACAGGTAGATTAGAAATGCGCTATAAGAAGCAGTCCATTTACCAGTCCTTGGGACGGAGTTTTCCAGACTACTAAATTTAACCCAGTTTGTTACCAAGTGCACCGATTTAGAGGGAAGCTACAGGGATGTCTGTAAGATGCCGGGTTTTCTTAAATGAGGGAAGCAGAGGGATGTAGGAGCGGGCGAGTCCCCTCGGCCATTGGCTCCACCTGAACTCTGCACAGTACCCGTAGGATTCGGACTTTTAAACAGAAGCTGACCCTGACTTCCTGTTTTGGGGGGCTGCTTCCACAGATCCACACTTTTGAAAATTGGCCTCTGATGGGTAGTTAACCGCCCGTAGTGATGTGGCGTCGGCTTCAGCCAACACTGGTTGAATAAGCAGATACAAATGTTTTCTCATGGTAGTATTTGGTGATAACAATGACACTAAGACATTTTTCAAAATAAACACAAAAGGTTTTATTTTCATTGCATCATTTCCCTGCACACCGTCCCAAAGCAGAGCTACATGCTGGCTTCCTGACCTGTTTTCCTGTGTTCCAGGCTACACATAGGCAAAGGTGTGCAGCTGGAGTGTCGTGGTGAGGGGGATGTGTGGATGCGCTGTATGAGCGACCATGCTGTGTTTGTACAGAGCTACTACCTCGATCGGGAAGCGGGCCGGGCACCAGGTGATGCTGTGCACAAGATCTACCCTGGAGCCTACATCAAGGTATAAATCCAGCTCACTCGCATCATTCATATGTTTTTAAAACTGTGAACACCTGTGAGCAGCACTGGGTTTATAGGTGGCACTGGGCACAAGAGCACTGTACCAAACACTTAAAATGCTCAGTAATAAACTGCATATATTACATATATTTATTACCAAGGTGCTTTTTTAAGACCCTACAATAAAACAAGGAAAATGGCAACAATCAATGACAGCCACTGAGCATGCACTTGGTGACAGTGGGAAAGAAAAACTCCCTTTTCACAGGAAGTAACCAGCCAGACTCAGGGAGGGGCGGGCATCTGCTGTGACTGGTTGGGGGCAATGGGCGGAAAGTAAAGCAGTATTCATGAGTTTCATGCCTCAGGTGGTTTGCTGTTACAGTGTACACCAGTTGTGTCTCGGTCAGGTATTCGACCTACGGCAGTGCCACAGACAGATGCAGCAGCAGGCAGCCACGGCTCAAGCTGCAGCTGCTGCACAGGCAGCCGCTGTCTCAGGAAACATTCCTGGTCCAGGCAGCGTCGGAGGGATTGCACCTGCAGTTAGTAAGTGCTGAGACACGCACAACACTCACAGTGGAGTTAAAGGTAGAACCTGTCATGATGGGAAAAAACAACAACTTTTAAATATACTAAGAATCTACTAATTCCATTCACAGTGACTGAGTACAGCCAAACACCGACCAACAGCAGGTGGAAATGTCCTTATATGGTCTCTGATATTAACCCCTCCCCCTCCCTGTTCACTGGCAGGTCTCTCTGCAGCAGCAGGCATTGGCGTCGATGACCTGAGGCGACTCTGTATCTTGCGGCTCAGCTTCGTGAAAGGCTGGGGGCCGGACTACCCCCGTCAGAGCATCAAACACACTCCCTGCTGGGTGGAGGTCCACCTGCACCGTGCCCTGCAGCTTCTGGATGAGGTGTTGCACACTATGCCACTGACTGACCCAGGGCCTGCGAACTGAGAACCCCCAGCAGTCTTTGAATGTGCACACACCAGACACACATGGTTGCTTCTTTGTTTCTTCTTCAAAAGGATTTCTCCAGCAAGTCAGTCAGAAACCATCAACAACCAATCATGCTTGTAGCAATCACTCATGCTTTTTGAAACGCACATACACACTGTAACCAAAAGGTCTGTCCAGACACATATATGCTGATGTCTTTGGGATTTTCCTAATGCTTTAGTCCTAAGAATCTAAAGTCAAGGCAGGCGACATTTGAACCCACCAGTAGAGAAATCCAGGGATTTGTTTCAGATATTCAATTCTCCGATATGCAAGTTGGATTTCTTCTTGCAGGAGTGTTCTGCACATTCACTCATGGAATATAAACAGATGTTTAAAAATCCAGTCTGGAGTCAAAAGCACCTCAGACAGGAAACTGCATACCTCTGGAAAATGCTGTCAGTGAATCTACGCTGAGCACATTACACTTCTCTTTATGTGTCATTGACGTCAGAGCTGATGTAGAGGTATGGATTAAGGAGACTGGTGTTATTCCATCTGCGTACTTGTACTCTGCTCTTCACTCTACGTTGGTTTATATTATTACTACATTATTTTTGTACCAAAAGACAAAAAAGCCCAAAACATTTAGCTTTAACGCCGTGTTGTTGTACTTTGTAATGAAACAGTGCTACTCTGTATGTAACCAAATGGTTGATATAACTCATGAAAGCCAGATTACCTCATAAGTACAGTGCAGAGTCACGGCGTCAGGCTGAAGTCAGTCTGTGACTCGGTACCAAAACTAACAGGTCGGCCGATCAGATCCTGACGCCAACATTTAGCTTCACAGCAGAGTGAACTCATAAGACAGCAACTAACTTCTCACACGCAGAGACAGAAACCCAGACAGTGTTTGCATGGTCAGACTCAGCATCTAGCACCAGTCTGTACCTTTGACACCAGTGCCTTTCTGTCCTCTGAGTGACCGCAGCAGTTTACTTGAACTCTGACTGGTTGTGTGCACGAGTTCTGGTTGGGAAGCTGATTTCAATCATCCTGCCCAGTCTGGGTCGTAGTCGAAGCCGTGACTACAGGCTGCATTCGCCCACATATTACACATAAATTATTATCGCACTTTATCACACCAGTGGATCCGTCGGAGCAGTTTGGGGTTAAATGTCTCGCCGAGGACACTTTGGCTCGTAGATAAACCTGAAGCACTGACCCGACCCGTAGACAATCTGCTCGACCTCCTGAGCCATAAAGTGTAAAGATCTCATCAATCAGAAGATTGAATATTTAAATGAAATAATTGAGCTCAGTGCTTGTAGTTAACTATCAAAGAGATATAATAATAATAATAATATAATGGGCACATCTGGACATTGGCTGTCTCGTGTAAAACCCTGATGCATCATTTCTCTTGTAATCTTCAACATGACTGCAGGTGTGATGGATTTTTCCCTGATTTCCCTTAAATGTATGGGAAACGTCACCTCGGTGAGGAGTGTCTGACTCGAGCACCCCAACAGTACAGCACACACCCAAATACACCCTGTGCCTTTGTTTTCTGTCCTCCAAAACACGTGTTACATAAAGAGTCTTGAAACCACACAGATGTGTCGTTTAAAGGCAAAGTCAGCTCCCCACTTGTCTGTACGAGTGTAGCTGGATCTGCCACAGAGTTCAAATACACTGCACACAACACAGCCTCACATACAAAGGCGCGTTTGTACCATGTAGAGATAAATCTGCTTTCTTGTGACTTGACAAAAAGAATTCTGGAGAAAACTGAACTATATTAAACGGGAATGTTGTGTGTTGATCTAAATGTGAATACATGTACCAACCAGTCTGTGTAGAGATGCTTGGACACTGTGGAATCTGCCTGGTTCAGCTGCTTTACAGTGATCAGCCATTAACATATGAATATTTGTGATGTGTGCCTTTTGTTGTAACAGTAGATGCACCGACACTGGATATAAGAAAACACTATAAAGATCGATGTTGCACATTGTGAGTTGGTTTTTCAGCTGTTCGAGTCCTTCTGCGATATTCTGTGGCTCCCTCAGGTTTCAGCGATGTGGAGACGGTGCGAGAGAACAGAGGTCCTGCTGACAGATGACTCTTTGTACCTGAGTAGTGTTATTTATTGCCTTAGTCTTTGGTGAGTAAAATATTTCAGAGTATGCTTAGCACTACTTCATTTTAGCAAGAACGATATAAGCATGTGATACACGCTGGTTTTCCTCTGTTCACACAGGGTTGTGCAAACCATCGCATTTCTATCATGTTATCCAGATCTTTCTACAACCAGTCACTTTCATGATGTGTCTACCAAAGCACCTGTAGATTGCTATTGTCTCTTTATTCATCACTATTAAACATGTACTTGTACTTTTCCATGTGAGCTGCAGGATTTACAGTTGGTATCGATTAAAAATAAAAAGATGTTTCTAGGCTTTCTGGATTTTATTTCACCCATGGCGACCAGTCATCATTGTGGTTTATTAGAAACATGACTTTGCTCACATGTAGATGAACCAGCTCAGTGTTGCGTCCGTTTGCACACTGAGTGCTGAACTACACAGTTCGTTGCAGGAAACAATAATTAGTAGGAAACTGCAAACGTATCCACGATGTTTTCTTCCAAAGTTCTAAAGCTTTGACGAAGCTTGTGTTAAAGAAGGCCCGTCGTGGAGTATAACTCACCTACCACCATCTAGTGGTGATAGGTATTGGGATAGGGTTACGCGATGGGTAAAATATACAGGGACGGGTGTCTGAGAACTTCCTTTCTGTCCGTGTGTTTGTAGAGTAACCGTAGCAACAGGCCTCGCTCATTACAACGAAAGGCTTCAACCGTAAACTGGATTCAATGTGTAACGTTATTTGAGCTATTTTGGGGGGTTGGATACTATATCTCTGATAGTTCTGATTTCGTGACCACGTATATTTGTTAGTTCTTGGCAGGAAACGTACTTGGAGGGTACAGTTCTTAAGCTAACCGTATAACTGAAAATGTGTCCTTTTAGTGAGGACGAGGCCACTTCCTGTGGGATTGTAAGAAGGATTTAAGGAGGACAAACTAGAGCTGCTGACTAAGCGAGAGTACATGTTGCAAGACAACGATCCTGCAGTCACTGAAGACCTGCCACTCCCTTAGGAAGAAGCCACAATGAGGACTGACTGCTTGTGCTGCATATTTCACTTTATTTACACGATGACCCAAATCCGCACGCTGTCTTTCAGACTTCCTAGTCCAGCCAGCTGCGATGCCATCTCTCCAACGCCACTCTTCTTCCAGATCCCTGCGTGCTACTCAAATAAGGGAGGCATGATTAGACAACGAGCACCAGCCCATGAATCCACTGCCCCACCCTTCCCCTGTAGCCAAGCCTCAAACCACACACACCCCCAGAAATCTAACCAGGGAGCCATCCAGCCTAGCTTACCCCTCCCATCTGTGCTCCCGGCCTATGGACCAGCTTAGTGTTAAAAGGCTGGAGAGCCAGACTGCAGTAGGGCGTGACCTGAGCAGAGGGTGAATGGACATCCCAGAAGGTAATAGTGAAGGGAGTCGACCGCCCACTGGATTGTCCAGCATAGCAGCTAATTCCTAACCCTTAACAACTTATCTTTTATGTTTAAGCAATCTTTAGGTCACTTTTTGGAGGTCCTGAGGAGAGGTGCTGAGATGGAGCCTCCAACAGCAGCTGAGTGTAGCAGGCTAATTATTGTAAACTACTGACCTGGTGTTCTAGTCACTCACCCCACTGCCCCTGACTTCCTGCATTTCTTGGTGCTGTTGGTTTGATCCCAACGAATATCCCCAGTTTGTTTTTGTCAGATTCAAATGCCACAATGTACAAAATGTTAATGACTGCAAATATGTGCATAGATAGAATCTGGTTCCCTTACTCCTAAAGAAGAGCAATTCATGCTCCTGGACAGTGCAACGACAACTGCTCATGCAGTGGCGTGACTGTGTGTGGGCACAGGAAGACTACCTTGTGCAAAGAACAAACACTGATACAGATGTGCGATCAGCACGATCAGAGGAAAAGTGTCTCAGATGCTTGGCTACATTCAGATAATCTGATTAAAATATTTGTTTCTATATTTCATCTGTAACGTTAAGATATTTTTAAATACCAAAGCATGAACATGAAAAATACACTGGGTACATATTTATCAGAAGCTATATAACTGAACTGATGTGGACAGAGGTCGGAGCCAGATAACATAATCCCTGTTTATGCTTCCTTAAATCCTCGACCTCTTTGGACAGGTCTTCTGGAGATGATGCACACATGTCCAGTTCAGGGGGTGAGCTGTAGTTATGATCATTATGCGACTCTGCTCTTCTTGCTCTGGTTCAGTGAGTCGCTTCATTCTCTCCAAAACACGATGATGAGTCTTTTTGACCCGGAACACAAACTTGTTTAACCAGGAAATGAACACAACATGAGGATTAACAAAGGGTTTGTGGGTCTGCTACAAAAAAATATGTTGCAGATACAGACTTTAATGAGCTGCAAGTAATAAAAGTGTCTTTTTGTAAAAATGTTTCATTTGAGCAAAAAAACCAACAAACTATTTTATCTCTTTGTCTTTTTCTGGGTGTTGTTTGTTCAGCAAACTCCATTTGGAAATGTTGGTCAAAGTTGCTGATGATTGTTGGTTAGTTCACCTGTAAAGTCATTCTTGTTGTTCTGTGCAGCGTTTTGGGCCTCTGTTTGCCGCAGGTTGTGTCTCAGGTTCTTCCTCCAGTTGTTGTAGAGGAACCACAGCTATAAAAATGCACTATATAAATATTTGGTAAAGGAAAAAACTCAGTCTTTAATATATTAATAATTCCATCCATCCATCCATTCGCTTCCTCTTATCCTTTTCAGGGTCGCGGGGGGCGCTGGAGCCTATCCCAGCTGTCATAGGGCGAAAGGCGGGGTACACCCTGGACAGGTCGCCAGTCTGTCGCAGGGCCAACACACAGGGACAGACAACCATTCGCACTCACATTCACTCGCACATTCACACCTAGTGGCAATTTGGATTATCCAATTAACCTATCCCCACAAGCTGCATGTCTTTGGACGGTGGGAGGAAGCCGGAGTACCCGGAGGGAACCCACGCAAACACGGGGAGAACATGCAAACTCCACACAGAAAGACCCCGGCCTGATGGTGGAATTGAACTCAGGACCTTCTTGCTGTGCGGCAACAGTGCTAACCACCGTGCCACCGTGCTGCCCATATTAATAATTATTAAAAATAAAAACAATAAATCATTAATTAATTAAAATGTGTTCTTCTTGCAAAATAATCCTTTCTTTCTTTAAGATAATCTAAATTTAAGAGCACATTAAACTTTATTTATTGTAATCTGTTTTTTATGAGATTAACTAGTTTAGATTTATCTAATAATAATGTAGAACACATTTCTGTTTTTTCACATATAAACACATTTGTTCTACTTAAGCTTTGTCTTTTATCTATTGCATATATGTAGCAATACAGTACAATAGTCTTTAAACTGTGCTACATTTGTATAGTATATGCTTCGTTGTTATTTTATCTACACAAATAATAACCCACTGCTCCGCCACTGTTGAAAGCCCCTAAGATAAGCACAGATAAGAACATGTAAAAAAAAAAGAAGATAATAATAATAATAATAATAATAATAATAATAAAATCAGCACGTGTTTCTGGAATGTGGGAAACATCCATGAAGATAAAACAAATGAAGTTTACCGAAAGGTCACTTATTTTTCGAAGAAAACAGGCTCTACAGCGCCGGTTTCAAACTCCGGTCCACAGGGGGCGCCAGCGGGTCAGCTGCTTTGCCGAGCAGCAGCTCAACCGAAGAAGAAGTAGTGATGGGATTTCCGGATCTTTTTAGAGAATCGGATCTTTCGGCTCGACTCACTAAAAAGAGCCGGGTCTTCAGGTTGTTTTGTTGCTTTAATTCATTTATTATTAATAATAATATAACATTATGCACAAAAGGAATTACTATTTTTTTAAAAAAGTTGTTTTATTTATATATGTTTATATATAAATATATGCGGTGGCCCCTTGACACAAAGCACTCCAAAAAGCATGTACAAATTCCAAAGCACGTACAAACTTCATAACACATTTCTAGCATTAAGTGAACTTCCAAAACAGAGCTACCTAGATCACACCAAATCCGGTCGTTGGTACTTGCTGGCTTGTGTAGCCACGAGGTAACAAAAGCTCAACACTGCGCCTAGCATTCTGGAGCACTGCCGTTGTGTTTTGTACATGTTTTGGAGTTTTTGGTGCTTCGGGATTTGTACGTGCTTCGGGATTTGTACGTGCTTCGGGATTTGTACGTGCTTCGGGATTTGTACGTGCTTCGGGATTTGTATGTGCTTTGTCTCTAGGGTACCGTAAATATACTTTTATTTATTCACTCCACATAAAATGTAATAAATAAATCATATAATACAAAAACCAACTATTCACATTTCAACTTTTAAATATTTAAATGTTCAGCTTTTTCCTTTTAAACAAATTTAAAGTGAAACAACACAAAACACTGCAAACCACAACACAATTAAATATAAATTGAAACATGAAAACAAAAAGAACATGCACATTCTCTGTCATATAGACCTGCATGAATAAACTTTCTAAATCGTAAAATAGTTGTGGATGATTACTATACCTTTCTAATGTGACGTTGTTGTCCCTGGCTCTCTTTCCCGCTCTGTTCCTTTGCTACTGTGAGTGTAACTACCGGCCCTCCCCCTCTGCTCAGCGCAAAGCAGAAAAAGTGCGAGAGAGAGGGTGAGAGAAAGAAAAAAAAAAAAAAAACACGGCTCGCGATAATTAGTCGGCTCGCGTCGTTCATGTCAAAGAATCGGCTCTAAGAGCCGTTTCGTTCGCCACCGACACATCACTAAGAAGAAGAATTAGAAGCGCTGGATTGACCCTCTTGTTTTCTACTCGGACAGTTAAGCGTAGAAAGCAGAGCTAAAAACGGAGGAGCTCTTCTGGCATTAAAACAAACAACCGCACTAAAGCATTTAAAGCTAAGTTAGCAGTTTGACAGCTAGCCGAGCAGCGGATACGAGCCGCGAGCCAACATGGACTCTTGGGTTCGCTTTAATGCCCAGAGCCAAGCCAAGGAGAGAGTTTTCAGGTGACGTTACTGACGTTTGGCACTTTGCTGGTTGAGACGCGGGGTTCGTCGAGCTTGTTCATTTCTGCTAATGTGATAAAACCGTCGGCTGGATGTTGCAGACTGAGTTCCGTGTTTGAAGCGGAACTTTTATCTGCTCAGTAGGAGCAGCTCTTCCTGCGCTGGTTTCAAATCAAGCGGCCTTAAGATGCCAGCTGCAGCTGCACAGAGTAGTTGAGTTTGTTAAGCGCACTGCTTTCCGTCCTGGTGACGTCTGTTGATAATGACTGTGCGTTGTGCGTTCACAGGGCTGCACAGTATGCTTGCGCGCTGCTCGGATCCACTCTGCAAAATGACGAAGCAGCTGAGATCCGCAGAACTGTCAGTCAGCTGGAGGCACACATGAGTCTGACAAGAAAGTGTGAGTAAAACAGCCAGAGCGAGTCTGAGTCGTTTCCACGTACCAAAGCTTAAGTGGGACTGGTGTTGGTTCTTCCACAGTGCTACGCCTGGGCAACTCCGTGGAGGCCCTGGAGGCCGCCAAAAGGGCCATACACCTCTCTGACAGCGTGCTGCGGCTGTGCCTGACCATCAGTCACCTTAACAGAGCCATGTACTTTGCCTGCGACAATGTGCTGTGGGCGGGAAAAACCGGTCTCATCTCCAAACTCGACCAGCACAAGTGGAGTCAGAGATCTTTCAGGTGTGTGAGGAAGAAATACATGCAGGACTGGTTGTGTAAACAGTGCCATGTTGCTCCACAGATCAAACTATATGTACATCTACTGATCGCATTGAGGGCCTAAAAATCCTCCATGTCGTTCATTAGCAACATTATGTTGTATTATTATAGGGTCTTTACACTATAAAGCACACTGGGGCAACTGTTGGTGTGATTGGGCGCTGTATAAATACAGCCGAACTGAGCTGCCTCCCCAGTGAGCCTCTGGTCCCTTACAGCTGTCCCTGTTCAGCTTTCTGGAAAACCTTTTTCAAGAGATACTAATCAGAACTGTGTGGTGAAGTGTGCAGTTATGGCAGCCTCACCGAGGTTACAGAGTAAGTCAAGCCATTGGACAGAGCGACTGCACAACCCTACAGCCGCAACATAGTGACCTGACAACCTGTCATGTAAGCAGACAACAGATACAAAGTAGCGCAGGATGAACCTGTTAATGAGAAGCAGTGGGCTTAATCTGTCAGTGCGCCCCAGGGTGGCTGTGGCTACACTGTAGCTGCCATCACCAGTGTGTGAATGTGTGTGTGACTGGGTGGATGACTGGATATGTAAAGCGCTTTGGGGTCCTTAGGGACTAGTAAAGCGCTATATAAATACAGGCCATTTACCATTTTAATCCAGTTAATCGAGTGCTTCCAATTATGAGGGCTAAGTAACTTGTTGTTAGACTCAGGTTTCGGTTTGCAGCTCCTTCAGTCCACATGTCTAACATGGCACTCGAGTGTGTAAGAATACACCAGACATTCCTCTGTGAAAGTGTCACTGAGGCTTTTAATTTGAAAGTACTTTAAGCGCTCATAATAAAAAGGTTCAAGTCTGTTTACTGCTAGTGGTAACGAACCTGTTTCAGAGGACATGCGGAGCTTTAAACCAGAGCTGGTGTGATGCCTTTGTGTGGGAAATTAAGTCATGGTATTTAACTCACCTGTGTCCACTTCCAGCAGTTACCCACAGGGCTTTGAGTTTGTATGACATGCACTCAAAGCCTGATTTGAAGTGTGGTTGCAGTTATCTTCATATCAGGGTCACAAAGGAATCACAGTTATCTTCTAGTGATTGATTTCAGGTAACTGAAATTTAAAATTGAGTTAAACTGTGTGGTTAAACCTGCAGGTACTACCTCTTTGCTTTGATCCTGAACCTGACCCGAGATGCCTACGAGCTCCATCTCCTCATGGAGCGCGAAGCACGTTCCACAACCAGCAAACAGCCTTCCTCCCCCAGCATTCCTCTGCCACCTGACCACCTTCCCTCTTCCTCCTCACCTGCCACACAAGCCATGGGTTTTGGCTGGCTCTACAGACAGCTTCATCTGGTGGGGACTGTGCTGTACAGCAACCCGCCACTGCTGTTGGACCTGGTGAAGAACAGTTGTGATGTCTTCATCCCACTGGACCGGTTGGGGATTTACCCTACAGGTCCAGGCTTTGTCGGGGCTTGTGGCCTGGCCTCGTCCGTCCTGTCCATCCTCACCATGGTTCACCCCTGGCTCAAGCTCAAGCCATAAATTGTAAGACTTGGAGGAGATATTCATTTGAGGACTAGTAAGGATTGAGAAAAATCTACTCGGGTTAACAAAATGTATTTCCCCCGATTCTACACAAAGCAGTCCTGACTGCAGGAGCCGTAGTACTGCCACCATGCTGTGTGATCGAGTTCCTTCAAATCTCTTGCTACAGAAAAGCTGAGGAGTTTCTAAAATGCTAAACCAGTTTCACATATTACTTCAGACCTGCATGAACACGGTTGTTTGGCCTTAGATCACATTGCTGCTTTAAAGCCCTCGCTTCCCTCATGTGAAGTAAACCATGCTAGTTGCTGCCGTTCTGCACATAACCATCACATCTCCAGCTGTCTATGACCGTGTCTGTAACAGAGTGTAATCAAGGCAGTACTGTCTGTTGATATCACAGAACGTGTGATTTCTGCCCTCTGTGTTTAAAGTTTTTACATCATGTGATTTTACCGCCTGCTCCCAGCAAGTTTGTTTTAGATATTCTGTTTTTGAACTACTAAGTGACTTAACTACTGGAGAAATAAATCCAAAGGAATTTGATTTGTCTGAATCACTACAGTAAAGTGTAACAACACTACATCCAGTTTCGTACAACATGGATCTGGATCCATTGCATCTGTAACCAGGGTTAAGATTCCACATGAACTATTCACAGTGTTTGTGCAAAGTCAGACCAACATCAAGAATGAGTCTTCTCATGCTGATGAAAGTTGTGTCAGATGTGTGTTGAACACATCAGTTTTATAAGTAAATATATTTATAGGTGCTGTTGACACGACGTCACCAGTAACAACACATCCAATCCACACATGCAAAGAAATTAACTACAGATGTCCAGAAATGAAACGGGGTAAAAAGTATTGAACACATGAAGAAAGGGAGGTGCAAAAAGGCAGGACAGTCATGACACCAGCAGAAATGAGTCAGGCTGGTCGGCCTAGAAATGTCTCATTACCAACGTGTCACACAAGAAACATCTGATGATGGGTGAAACGACGGAGCTCGCAACCTTATTGTTGCAAAACATTTCGACGGCCTTGGTTACAGAAGAATTTCCAAACTACTGACAGTTCTTGTGAGCACTGTTGGGCCATAATCTGGAAGTGGAAATTCCACAATAAAGTGTGCCGCAAGCTTTCAGAGTGAGATGAATTATCAGAAAGGTAGTCGAGGAGCTGAGGAGAGCTACAGGAAGACCTGGAATCAGCAGAAAACAAGTAATGCTCACTGTTTAAAGTTTGCTGAACAACATTTAGACACACCTGTGAAATACTGGGAGGATATTGTCTGATTAAATGAGACCAAAACTGAACTCTTTGGATGCCGTACTGCACACGTTTGAAAGGCGCTGCATATCACCCCAAAAACACTGAACCAGCAGTGAAGCCTGGAGGTGGGAGCATCAGGATGTGGGGCTGTTCAGCTCCCTGCACTGAAGGAAGGATGGAAACATTTACAGAGACAAAAATTGCTGCCATCTATCAGGATGATGAAGATGAAACTGACGTCTCAAACCGCTCAGCTGGTTTCACAGAAGGAAAGTAAAGCATGGCCAATCAGCTGACCCGAAAGTACCAGCAGTCATCACCAACAAAGGCTTTTGTATATGTATTAAATACAGTTCAGTGACCATGTTCAGTGTTTTCCCCGTGTCATTATTACACATCATTTATGGTTTGATTGGATGGGTTGTTCCTGACATCTGGTGTGAATTTTATGTCACAGCACCTTTAGGAACATCGGTGATGTGTTCAGTACTTATTTTACCCACAGAGTGTGAACACAAATGTTTTGCATAGATTTCACCTCCTACAAGTTTAACTGTAATGAGTGAGACATGTGACCAGACCTGCGTGTTAACTCTTCCCAGTTCACCTTCATCTTTGCAAAGGACACAGAAGACTCAGCAAAACTAGAAATAAGTTTATGTCAACTGTTACAAAAAGGAAGTACAAACAAAACCAACATTACCATTTATAAAAAAAAGAAAAAGAAATCAGGGACACGAGGGGACCAGTGACTGTCGTACGAACTCTGCTGCTGGTCTTTCAGAGTGGTCAGGCTGAAGGGACGATAAATTACCCACGTTCACTGTGGAAGAAAACAGAGCGAGGTCGTGTTTGTCAGAACGAACACAGCGATGAACATTTTAGCCATGTGATGAGAAGACTCAGCTCTTTAAGATACATGCAACTGAGCATTCATCCTGCAATGCAGTGGATGTTGGTGATGCTCGAACCTCTTCGTCACTCCTGTGTCTCCATGCTCTCGTCCTCTCCGTCCCCTCCTTCCTCCAAAGCTTCGTCTTCCTCCTCCTTCCTCTCCGGAGGTTTCTCGTAGGCTTTCTCTGAGGGAGTCACGATCACGCCGTCCCATGTCGACATCTCTGTTGCTAGGTCTGCAGAAACACAATATTATTTTACAGCAGGTACAATTGATCAATCACAGCTCAGCATGAGATGCTGCTGTTCAGCCCGAGTAGATCCTGAGTGATTTTCTGAAAACTTGACCTCTGACCCTGACCTTACGGTTGAGGTCACTGAAATTCAAACATAGCAAGAGTTTTAGCGGCTGTTCCTACGGTGGAAATTTCAAGTCCTAGACTGCCTTGTCCTCGAGTCATCATATTGTTGTCCACAGCGCCCAGTCTTCCCAATACCTGAGCAGCCTTTCACAGTGTAGATGTGTAAGAAAAACAAACTTTACACTCTTTGAGTCCCGTGTCAGTGTGTACACAGTGACTGCACCCAGTCACGAGGGTAAAAGTGCTCATTCTAAACTGGGATTGTCCCAGAACACTTCTCTTTGCCTGGCTCCTTCACCTTTCATGCTGAAATGCACACTTATTAAAATAAACCTGCACTTGTTTTAAATTAGATTCAATAAACTACCAGGCACTGTTTCATTGTGTTTCTGGGCTATTTACACAGCTGTTCACAGATGTTAGATGAAGGTGACTCCTTCATGTCCTGACACACGATGTGTGCATTTGCAGTGTGTCCTAGAGACAGCTCAGCTGTAACGTGTGCAATTTAAACTGAGAAATCAGGCGTTTGTTCATTTAGCCCATAAACTACATGTTAAGGTACAGAGAACAATGATGTCATCTTACAGCTGGCATCGCCCTCCAGACCGAGGATCTTCCTGTAGCCTCCGTGAGACAGCACCCTCACCAGAGTCTGAGCGGTGAAGCACACCATGTCCTGCACAAACACACCTGCAGTCACATCCTCGCTCAGAGCTGAATATTCTGTATTGTGTTGAGTGCGACATAAACATGTTTCCAGTTCCACAGACAGGATTAAGCTTGGCACAAATAAGAAACGTGACCTGCAGCAATAAAAAGCACTGAGCAGATCTACCTGCTGTTCTAGAGTCATGACTGTGTGCACTCTGAAGTTTCCACTTTCACAGGGGTCAGTGATGCCCACAGAGCCAGGCAGAAAGAGACCAGCAGCCAGCATCTGCAGGCAGCGCCTTCAAGAACAACAACAGAAACATTTCTTCCACACAGACTACAAAACAGAGTGCAATCTGAGCAGAGTGACGACTGACCTGTAGGCCACGTTCAGAGACAGAGGCTGCCTGGAGGGGTTGTTCATCACTGCAGAGTGGCCCTAGAGAGGGAATACTCACTGCTTTATGGAACAAACCAACGTTTAACGTCCTTCCAATAAATAAGGAAGTCAGCGTTGTGGACGTGGATTATTTATTCACTCAGGACATCATTTATGGAACTTACCAGCAGATCGAGGATCCAGGGCGTCAGGGGTTCGAATCCAGGGAAACGCAGCCTCAAGTCTTTCAGCAGGCGGATCAATACTTTGACTCTAAAGATCAGACGTGAAACAAACCAAGCTCCAGTGAGCTTATTTGTATTGTTACTGTGAAAGCAGACCAGGTAAAATACGACTTTTCCTCACGTTGACTGAGAGGCGTTCTCCTCAAACCAGCGAGCGTGACGGATGGCAGCGAGGGCACTCTGCAGCACCTTGATGTCCACTGAGGAGACAAACAAAAGACACTCATTTTTTTTAAACAACCACAGCGCTACACGTTTGTACCAAGACTGGCCCACTGTGCACATTTGTGTCTCCAGACCAGGTAAAAAGTCTCACAGTGCAGCTCGGGGTCCAGTTTGCGCAGGTTAGGAGGGACCGTGGTGATGAGGATCTTCACTGTAGCATCAGCTGAACTGATCTCGAAGCCAGTCTCATTGGTCAACATGGACAGCACTGAGAGGAGGAGTCAAACACTGTGTCAGGCACGTTTTACAGCTGCAAGGCTGAGAAGCACTTGGTTATAAGCTCTGGTCAGTGTCACAGCCAACAAGTCAAATGACTAAACCAAATGTTTTTATCCTGAAAAAGAAACATTTACTAAATCAAATTTGAATGAAAACTCTGAACATTTAGGACATGACACGGTCAGAGCAGGACTCGCCCACAAACGCAGCTATTCAAACACCACACGTCTGTTTACCTTCAGTAGGGTCTTGTGTGCGAAGCGTCTCCACTACTTTGTTGCCGAGGGCAGCCACAGCCTCCACTGTAAAGAACAATGACCCTCAGAGCGCGACACAAAGGGGGCAAGAACAACCCACACAACAGCAAACAGTGCCAACAGGGTTTATATGAAATAGCGACCGAGACAAAGGTTTTAGAAGCCCCGCCTTTCAGGTTGTCTCTATGAGCAACATCACACTGATGGATGGCTCAGAAAGTAACACCTGCTCAAACTGAGGACGGTCACATACATCTGGTTACAGCCCAACTACATGTGGCTCAAAACCAAGACTGAAACCTGGTGCATTTGTTTTTATGGATTTAAAATAAACAGATGAGACTTTATCACCATAGATTCTTTAATAACGGCAAACAAGTTGCCAAATTATCCAAGTGACAAGAAGCAGCACAACGTACAGACTTAAAAAGGCTTAGAAGTGATGTCTGTGAAGGT